AATTTGGTTATGGCAGTGAGTGATTACATCTCTGATATTTTTTTTGAGTGACCTACTGACAAGTTTAAATGATGTACATAGTTGGACTTTGTAGTTAAGAAAATTACCGGATCGTGTGCCTGGAGACAGGAATTTGAGTGACGAGCAGCTGGAAAAGGATTAAAAAATCTGATTGCTGGCTATGGTATCCGTTGGAATATAATATATGAAAGCCGAACTCGTGCCTATGAAGCCAGAGAAGTATGTTATTTATCCATCTTTCTGAAAAACTTGTTGACTAGTATTTGCCAATCTAGGTCATTGATGCAATACTCCATGATGAGTATGACAAATATAAACAACAATGGTCCAAATCAAGCCACAAGGAAAATCCCAAGAAGCTCGGTCACTTCAAGGAGATCCAGTTCACAAAGAAGGAATGGGCGATGATTAATGAACTGAATGAAGAATTAGAAGTAAGTCCTTTTTATTATTATATATAAGGTTTTATCTGAAATGCTCATTTGTTTTTTTCAGCCATTCAACCAACGGTGGGCCGCTACGCTAAATGGCCATTTAGCGTTAGCGTAGCTGCTGTTGCAGCAACCTTTTTTTGTGTAGTGTTAGTTTGCGCTACAGCCCACTACGCTACGCTAACTTTTAGTGGCGCTAACAACACACCTTTTTTTGGGTAGTGTTAGCGCACCGCTACAGCCACTACGCTGCGTTACGCTACGCTACAGCGCTGTTAGCGGCAAAAAAGGCCAAAAAACCGCTAAAAAGCGCTGTAGCTTGGTGTAGCGGACGCTTTTTTGCGCCCCATGGGCGTAGTGTTAGTGTGGATGAGTGAAATAAAGCTAACACTACGCTAACAGCTAACACCCACTGGTGCCCTGCGTGCGAAGTGTTAGTGCAAATTTTCAGATTTGCGCTAACACTACGCTACATGTTAGCTTATTTTAGCTACACTACGCTACACTAACGCTACGGTTAGTGTAGCTGGCCCACTGTTGATTCAACCGCCTGACCAAACTTATGGAGGGCGATGGTCCTACCGGTGCTTTCATCTTACCAAACTATTATCAAATAATCTTAGAATTGAAAAATAAGGAGGATGCCTGCAACCGAGGTCACCCGATGCATCCGATGTATGTCAAAATGATCAAGAAACTAGAGACCTACGAAAACGAGGCACTTGAGTGTCATACTCTCATTATGGCGACTTTGCTCCACCCCAAATTTCGGCTGAAGGCCTTCGCCCATTGCTGGCCTGGAAAAGCGGACTTTGCGAGAAAACTTCTGGAGAAAGAATTTGTGAAATGTGTGGAGGTTCTGAAGAAACAGAAAGAAGATAATATCCAACTTGTCAAAAAAGAAGCCCCCCCGGTCGAGAAAAATGATATCTTTGAAATGTTCAATGCACCTGCAAGAACCGACGAAAGCAAAGAGCTCGAGGTGTATATCAACAACATGGATCGACTACCTGTGCCTGCCTCAAACGATCCCAAGAGCATTTTAATTTGGTGGAAGGTATAAAGTTACCTTCTTTGATCATACTCATTTGGTAATTACTCTAATCATAATTTGATTATTTATCTTGTTCAGGATCATTCAACCACCTACCCGGTTCTTGGATCACTGGCCAAGGACTACTTAGCATCCTCTGCATCCTCATGTGCAGTTGAGCGTACCTTTTCTTCAGCTGCTGATGTTTGTTCAACTGGCCGAGGGAGTTTGAAACCCCGGACAATTGAAAGGTGTGTTAGTAGCCATATGTGGTTAAAACAAGGTATTAAAGTTGCTGGAGATTTCACCAAAGCACAAACAGTTGTTTCTTCGTACATTGACTATTCCCAAAGAAAAAAGTAGATTTTTTCCCACCTTTTCTTTCTTTTGCTTTTTAACCACTAGTATTCTTTTTATCACTCATCTCTAAGCAAAAAAAAATCTTAGTATAAAAAAATCAAAGCAAAAAAAATCAATTTCTTATTTTCACTAATACCTAATCTTACCAGAAAAAAAAAGTTCAATATCAGTAGTTCTTTTCATCCCTCATTCCTAACCACGCCTATCCAGAAGAAAAAATATCCATCCATATTTGTTGATTTTTAGTTGATAATTTGTCCTCTTACAGTATCATTACTTGGTTTTTTTTTTGCTTTTTTCCCAAGTAATTATCTGAAAAATACTTTTTGAGGTCCTTATTCTACTATGTCTGAGGTAACCTACATATTATTCCAACTACATAATCAGTTACACTAACAGTTAGTGTAACTTTTGATGAGTTACGCTAACAGTTAGTGTAACTTTTGATGAGTTACGCTAACAGTTAGTGTAACTTTTGATGAGTTACGCTAACAGTTAGTGTAACTTTTATTCAGTTACGCTAACAGTTAGTGTAACTGTTAATCAGTTACGCTAACAGTTAGTGTAACTTTTTCACCAGTTACGCTAACTGTTAGTGTAACTTTGCAAAAAGTTACACTAACATGTAGTGTAGTGGGTTCACCCACTAACACCGCTAAAATTTCACTAACAGGATTTTGGGTAGTATTAGTGGTACCTGTTTAAAGGCAGCTAACACTACGCTAAAGTTTTTTTTTTTTTCAAAAATCCTGTAGCGTTAGTGGCCCAAAAATTTCCGCTAATGGTAACTTTTGTGTAGCGTAGCTTAAAAAGCTAACACTACGCTACACTAACACTACGGTTAGCGTAACTGGCCCACCGTTGCTACAAGTTTTTGGTGCAAAAAAGCACCGCTACGCTACGGTTTTTTGGCCAAAAGTGTAGCAGAGCGTAGCAGACCACCGCTGGCAGGTGCCAATTGTCATCTCTAAACCTTACTGGCTGATGGAAACCTGATCTCAATTGTTTTTCACCAGCAGATAAAATTTACTGATTCTCTATAAATTAACAATTTAAGAAAGCTGATCAATCAAAATTGTTACAGTTTTGATGGTATTATCTTATCAAATCCTTTTTCCATTGAATTATTCAAACAGTTACATTAGAATCCTGTCACTCTTATTTGAATTTTTCTTTTATCATTACTAAATTAATCTGGATATCATCAAAGAGTTTCCTCAAAAATCTAGCTACATCTATACTTGTTACAGCATTCACTATGTGTCATTTGAAGTAAACTTTTCATTGGAGAATTTATCAGTATTTCTGAGATATATTCTGGGGGTTGACAAGCGCAAGCCAACCCCCCCTCGCGCACGCCAATGCAGAATGGCGTGCAGGCAGGCACACCAATGCAGAATGGCATGCAGGCAGGCACACCAATTGCCTGCAGGGGGTATTACCCTGCGGGTGTGCACACCAAAGATATGGTCCTAAACCCATATTTATATGGGTTTAGGACCGGGGCTATCCCATAGGACCCAGGCATGGATGACTTGTTTTTTCAAAAAAAAAAGAATAAAAAAGTCTGCTTGAGGCTGGGAGGAACCCCTCCCAGCCCCAAGACTTGTAAGTTCTTAAGGTTGGAGGAATGCCTCCAACCTTGAGGCAGTGGTCCCAGCGCCGGGAGGAACCCCTCCCAGCCAGCCTCTGTTTGTTGGCCAGCTTGTCAGGAAGGGTTCCTCCCGGAGAGCCAGTATTCAAACCAGCTTGTTGGAAGGAATGCCTTCTGACAAGCTGGTGTACATACCAACTCGTTGGGAGGAACCCCCCCCCCCCAACAAGCTAATTAGACCAGCTTGTCAGAAGGAATCCCTTCTGAAAAGCTGGTAGTCAGAAGGGATTCCTTCCGATGAGCTGGTCTAATCAGCTTGCCAAACCATCTTGTTGGGAGGAACCCCTCCCGACAAGCTGGTATGTACACCAACTTGTCAGAAGGGATTCCTTCCGACAAGCTGGTTTAAATACCGGCTTGCCGGGAAGAACCCCTCCCGACGAGCAGGTATGTAGACCAGCTTGTTGGAAGGAAACCCTTCCGACAAGCAGGTTTGAATACTGGCTCACCGGGAGGAACCCCTCCCGAAAAGCTGGCAAACAAACAGAGGCTTGCCGGGAGGTAGAATCTGAATATGAAGCAATACTGGGAAGAATGTATGTAAAATGATGTTTAAAATGAGGCTATGTACATGGAAAGGTATGGACATACCACAGCATGCATAACAGAGCCACACATCCTGATGTTGCTTTGTGGTGCAGATTTTCTTATTGATGACTACAGAAGTTCCCAGAAGGTTGCTGTCGTGAGCTCCTGGCTCCCATTTTTTATGCCACTCTTTTTCTTTGCTTTTTTGTCCTATATGTGGCCTTGTACAGCCACAATATTGCAGGCATCATGGCCCAACTCCCCCATTTTTCAAGTTGAAGATATGGGAGTTGGACCATTGGATTCCTCTCATTATTTTGAGTTGGCATTGGCCATCACATTGGCCATACCCTAGCTCCCACAAGGCAACCAGACAGGTGCCCGGAGGCCTAGTGGGACCTCAACAGCAGATTTGCAACCTGTACAGTCATGTGTACAGGTTGCAAGGTGCAAAAAAAGTGAAAAGAAAATAATAATAATAGGGGGGTTCACGATAGCTTTTATGGCTTCTGGTCCCCCCTAAAAATAATTATTGCTGGTGTGCAATTTTTGTTAAATTTTAAGCTAAAATCATGTGCGCAAACAACAACCATCATTCATAAAATCTTGTTGGTATGCATCACCTCATAAAGTGTAGTCACCCGCTGCGTAATCATCTGCCCAACATAAACCCTCCTCTGGCTCAAAACACACCATCACACCTCACGGTAATTTTTCTGTATCACATACCACCTTGGATAAATTTCACACACACGCCACCATCATCCCTGCATCAACTTCATCATCTTCCCTGCATCATCTTCATCATCATCCCTGCACGATCAAACACATCATGTCTGTTAGTCAGGTAGGTAATCTGCTATTTTTGATTGCGCTTTCACGATCAGAGACTGACATTCGATCAATGTTCCCCACCACCTACGATTTGATGTATGTTTGACAGTTAGATCCGAGTTTGATGAATCTTACCCCAATGAGTGCGCGCTTGCCAGTTTCGCCATCTGGGACGCTCACGAGTGGTCCTGATGTATCAGGGCTCAACCTTGCGTCCGATGTTTCTGGCGTCTCAATTCAACAACCCCAGGACCTTGCCATGTCAGCTCAACCGAGTGGAACGGCCGTTGAACCAATCGGCAAGAAGAAGAGACGATCTCGTCGTACGCAGAAGGAGATGGCAATCTATCGTGCCGAACAGGCCCAAATCAAAAAGGTACAGGCTCAGCAAAAGGCCAAGGACAAGCGACTCAAAGGTCGCGCCCGTGGGGGCAAATCCGCTCGCTCTACTCGATCAACTGCCCAAGGGGCAACGGGTAAATCTGCGTCCAGAATTTCCGAACCTGGCTCAGCCCCAGCCGCTTCCCAAACTTCAGTTCCAGATGCCAACCCCCCGTTCAACTCGGATGACTACGAAAACGTATGTGGTTACCTTGAGGAGGAGTCGAACTACACACGCTTGTACGGGGATGGGTCGAAGACGACAGTGGGGACAACTAAGGTGACCAAGGCGGCAGCTTACGACATGTTTGCGATCTTCATCAATGACAATTCAAACCATCGGCTTCGCCTTACCGGTAGCCAACTTCGTCAACGCATAGATGGCTACAAAAAGTGCTTCATGAAGGCGAAGGATTGGGCAGAGCAAACCGGGGCTGGTATCGAAGAAGGCGAAGATCTCCCGACACTGGCGGAACTCCTCGAGAAAAAATGTCCTTTTTATGAGCGTATGTATGCGATCTTTGGCGGCAAAGCAAACGTTACCCCGCTGGCTCAGTTCGACTCTGGGGTTGGGGCCGACCTCTACATGGATACGACGGAAGCAAGGGGGGTGCAGAGTCGGGATTCGTCGCCTGAGGTGTTCTTTTCTGGTTGGGAAGAAGCCGAAGACGAACAACCCCCATCTGGGTTAACTACACCAGCCGGCCTGTTGGATTTGACCCGATGCTCAACCGCACTTGAGAATCTGACTGGCCAGCTCACTCCGACACCCCAAGTCGGCCCAGAACTCAATGACGAAGACCTCCCACCGCCTCTAGACTTCAGTGGAAGCGCAATGGACCCTTCGCCTACCGTGACAACACAGATATTGCGCGCTCGTGTCAGCCAAGGTTCGGCGGGGGTTTCCTCAACCCCTGCGTCTCAAGTTCCTACGTCAGTCATCCCTCGCCCCTCCCCAGCGGGCACCACCCGGCGCGCGTTCCGAACCAACGCTCTACCGATGCAAGCCCGGCCGCGCCGGTCAGAGATACCAATAAGCGAGGTAAGACTACCTTGGCTTCAGCGTTCGAGAACTCAAATTCAGAGAAGTTTGTTTACCTCAAGGAACACATGGCGTGGGAGAAGGAGAAGGAGGACAATCGGCTCAGTTGGGAGAAGGAAAAATACAATAAGGAGCTCGCCCATGCCAAGGATGGCGCCGAGGGGCAGAGCAAACTAGCTGTGTTGAAGCTGAAAGCCGCGCAAGAGTGGATAGGGCAAGGGAAGTCGGCAGCTGAGGTTGAGGGCCTGTTGAAGGTAATCTATGGGTGAACGGGTGCGTAACGGCTCAGTTTTCATAGTTCACTGATCCATGTATTGAATAGCTGACATTCAAGATGCGTCTATAGTCCTTGTATCGGTAGCCACATTCCATCAGTGTCGTCGTATTCGGTGGCTAACAAGTATCTCAGTCGGTCTGAATAGGGCCCTGTCATTTTATATCTTCCATCATCATGCGGGATTGTGCCTGCTGTTTCCTATTCCCCCATTATGTTATGGCTAGATTACAAGATGTCTCTTGCCCCGTTACGAATCCCCCCACAATGCCATGGATGTCCGAACATTGATGTGCTTAATATTATTGTTGTTGTCATTCTCATTCTTTTGTTCCAGACCTGCAACACATAATACAACATCTGCTCCACTACCACCCATGAGACTGCCCGGATGGCCTGTCGTGAGTCCACATGAAACACTTGAATCATAGGAGGGACTTTCCGGTAAGCCGGAGTAGCCGGATAATATCGGCATTCTGAAACCAGCCGGAGCCCTGGGGTGAGTTCTTCCTGCGGACCCACATCGTGGCTTGCATCCAAGTCACACACCACCATCCTATCCAAACGCATGTCCAGCTCTCCTCATTCACAAAGGGTCACCCGCAGACAGGCGGGTAGGGATCACCGATGGGATCGGGATGCAATCAACGGTGGGCCTTCGAGCCTCACAATCCTGCTCAATTGGCTTCCGACGCCAGGAAACTACTCCCGCTGGGATGCCCCAGGAAACCCCGATCGAGAAGGGATCTGCATGGAGATCCTTGAGTTGATGGAGAATGAGGGCATCCATCATAGGCATGTATGGGGTACAGCACAATAATGATCTCATCCTATCAAATGATCATCTGAAGCCGCTGACACCAAACATGCCCCCAGGGATTAACCACAGGATCCAGCTCCTGCGCCGATCATACAACACCGCTCGCGATTTCATTGCCCATGCACAACACGAGCCAAACATACATGATGGGATCATACTACGTCAGTCGCCTGCCACCATCACTTGTCTCAACAATGGAGGGCCTTTCGCTCATATATGTCCTTCTTAAACAGTTTACGCTCGCCGGGTGTGTCCACACTGGGACCTTTTGCACCCGATCATGGGGCCTCAAACAGCCGACACCCATGCCGAGCAAGCAGAAAACATTGATAATGAGGACGCAACTTCTGAAGTGTCAGAAGATGAGTCCACCAATACTTCACGAGCACGCATAGGTCGTGAGAACAAACCGTCGGTTGTTAAGTGATGTGGAACAGGAATGAAAATTTCAATTGCATGAGGACCAATAGTGCCCAAAGCAGAACTAGACCAGTAATACTATATTGGCAAAAAAGCAGAACTAGGACAGTAATACTATATCGGCAAAACCCCCAGCTCGTAGTTCTTCTCTAAGCATATTGTCTGAACACGATTCCGGAAATCCTTTGGAGTATCATCATTCCTCCCCATTGCCTCCCCAGTTGGAGTGTCATTGGTAGATGCGTCCAACTCGTCCCATGCATCACCGAGATGCGCCAGCATGTTGTGTAATGTTACACAGCAATTTATCCAACGTATGATCTCGATCATGTCGGTAGGCTTTTGAATAGCCAGTCGCAGATCCTGTAGCGATGCCCACCGTCCCTTTAGAATGCCAATCGTATGTTCGTTCCTAACACGCGACCTTGCCAAACAGTAATTGAATTCCGTGTTCTCCAGAATAAACGCCGCAGGCGCTTTGTATGCAGGGATGCAATGGACTCCCAACTCATAGGCCGAGTCGGCTATGAGGTATTGTCCTGCACAAGCAAACCATCAGGAACGTAATCAGCAACATAACCCATCTATAGTAGGCAACACCAAACGACTAACCATCACCAAAGAATTTCTCCGGCTCTTGATGTAACAGCATCCGTTTGAAAACCATGCTGTCGCCGCACGAACCAGGCCAGCCCGTCATGTAAGCCGTGATAAATTGGTCGCAGTCGCAAATGACCTGACAATTGATCGAATACCGTTTTTTGCGATCAAAGAACACCTCGCCATCGATCGAAGGTCGCTGGTAGAGAGGAATTGTCGTCCCGTCAACAAAACCCACGCAGCCTTCAAAACCTTCCTCCTTCATGACTTCAGAAATCTCCCTTCTTCGATCGGTGTCAGGCCAGAGCAGGTAACGACCTGATAAATCATTGATTGCCTGTATGACCCTACGACTAGCCTTGACAACAGTCCCGCGGCCAACACTCAAGTTCCTAGAGAAACGTCCAACCGAGGCGCCGTTGCCATTCGAACCAAGCCTCTCAAGCGTGAGAGCCAATTGATGGGCAATGGGCAGTTGAGGACGGAAGCTTCCACTGTGAAAAACTGGGTTTAACTGGATTTCGTTCAAGAGCCAGATGAAACCAGGCTTCGTAGTCCGGACCGCCTGCTTGAAGTCGTCATCTCGCATGTCGAAAAGCTGTGCCAAATTGAATTCATCGTGTGTTCTTCCTGGCAATCGGTCGTGTAGGTATTGGTTTGACAGTACCAGCTGCAAAAGATCTGACACCATCGCCTCATCATCAAACAAAAGATCTAGCAGTAATGCCCGGCCGGGATTCCTAGGGGCCGTGATTTGACCAAGTGACGGAACAATTGGAATTTTGATGGATGAGTCAAGGAGGTTGTCGGTCTCATTTTGGTGGAGGAATATAAGTAACATGAAGAGATCGCGGACTATCTGTTGCCGCTCACTGTATTTGTGCATGCTGGGTTGTGAGGAGCTTCCGGGTGCCGGTGAGAATGGTTGGTTAGGTCGGTGAATGTGCACCAGAAAACTTAAGTGATTGCGCACCAGAAAACTCAAGTGGATCGCCAGTCCGTTTCCATAGCTAAATCTTACTGGTGGGTCACTTCTGGTTACTTCGATTGTAGCTTATAATTTTAAGTGCGCAGCATGCGCAACTCTACTGGTGGGACGATAAAACTTTTCTGGTGAAAAGCTATCGTGAACCCCCCTAATAAATTGGATGCCAGGAGCTTGCAAACGCAAGCTTTCTGGGAGCTGCTGTAAGGCGCCAATTATAAACACTGTTTTGGAAATATTTCCAAAACATTTTACAAACATTTTGGTTTTCAGGATAGTCAGGAATCTGGCAAAAAAAAAAAACAAAGGAGCCCATGGACCTCCTTTGGACACGTTTTGAGCTCAACAAAAAGGTTTTTGTCACAACTACAGGCAACCAGTAGGTGTATGCAAAACCCCCATTCAGTGGAACATCTGTACCATGCAGTGGTAGACTAGTACAGTGCTCAAAATCTTGACGAGATCAATTTGGAATCATTGGGTGGGTCAGCGACAGGGTCTAGCCATCTCCCAAGCCAATATTCCTTCTGCCTCTCTCCAACCCCCCCCCCCCTCCCCCCTCCCCCACGCTTGCGCCCGGTTTTGGTCATTTGTGGTTGTCTCCATTATAATCAACTTGGGCAAAGATACCAGTTTGGCGTGAGGTTTTCTGGAGCTGATTCCAAGCCCGTTTGGTCACCTGTGACTGGTGCGGGGTGCAAATGTTTATAACTGCAACCCCGTTTTGAAGTTGTTTTGGAAATGTTTTGGCACAAAAAGCCAAAACCAACTGCAAAAATGTTTCAAAAATGTTTCAAAAAAATTCCCAATGGCAAAACGTTGTTTATAATTGGCGCCTAAGTTTGCTTGGATCTGTTTACTCATGTTTGATATCAAACCAATCTGAACCCTCATGTTATCCAATTATGCTCAACTTCTTGATGCCAGATCCAAGCCAGAAAAGGTATGTAGGTACCACAGGTGCTTGTCAAGGTGACACTATATGGACCCAAGTTGATTGTATTTTAAAAGCTTATCCAATTCTTCAACCAACCATCAAAAAAGAAAGATAGACAATCCAACAAAAAAAACCACTGAAAGTCCCAAAATGATGATGACAAGAAAAAAAAAATAACAAAACAAGACTTTAGGAAAAAGGCATCCCATGCCAACTTGTACACATGTGTACTTAATCAAGAAAGATAATCAAAACAAGATGATCGACTATTTTTTGGTGTTTGAGTGTTCACTCAGACTATTTTGAGCATTGTTACCGAAAGAATAAAAAATCATAATGAACGTGGCTCCAAGCAAGGACCATACGGGGGCGATTAACTGAGAATCTTTTCTTTAAATAATGGAAGATAGAAAACGATAAGTTACGGAAGTTCGCAGGTGTTCAGAGCGCTCGGGCGGCAGCAGAAACCGTAGATTTCGTGGGACCGGTGGTATCGAAGCTGTAATTTAAACACCGCCAGAGGTAACATGAGTTCAGGGCAAAATCGGCGAGACGAGCGGCAAAAGTGAGCTTACAAGAAGATACCAGCTAGTTGCTGCTTGTCAGCCCATTTAGCTTTGGTGACCGAGGTTACCTGGTCCTCGTAGGTAATGAAGTACTTCCCATTGGTAAGGAAAGGCTGTTGTGTTCGATGAAAGGATAAGGTATCAGCCTTTGGTCAGGTGAAAGAGGGGTGTCGTGAGTCAATGGATAGCTACATACAGTTCCGCTACATTCGTCAAAGTAACGCTTGTAGCCATTGAGACCAGTCTTCTGGTCTTTGGACAACCAGCCATTTGAGATCAGTTCAGTGGTGAGGAAAGAGCCTCCCCATTTCTGCTCCTTTCCACAGACATCCAGCCCTGGCTTGTCATCGGCAATTCCACCGGGCTGTAGAGAGACATAATGATACCATAAGCAAGTGGGTTAAAAGGAGATGGTGAATGGTTGGCTTACCGGAGTGACTTCGGTGTGTTTTTGGTAGATCAATGTCTCGTGGCCATTGACGGTCGTTGGCTTGAGCTCGGGGGATACTAGCTCGAGACGCTTGGCATAGGCGGGGAGACCCAAGACGACTTGTTGGGCTTTGAAGCCTTGCTTGAGCATCACCTCAAGACCGGTTTCAATGGACTGGGTCATTCCAGCGGGTGCGCAGGTGCCATGAACCGGAGCCAATGGACCGGTAGTTGGGGCCCACGAACCGAAGACGTCATACGCCATTAAGTTACTGTAATCATGAAACAGAGGATGTCATGTCAATACAGGTATCGCGCTTTCATGAGCTTCCTCAAATCGCGTTTTTTTGAAACTGGGTACTAACACGAAATCCAAGTTTCGAGCGATTTCGGCAGTCTCGGACGCGCTGGCAGGGCTGCCATCGGCCCCGTTGAGCCCAGAAAGGCCAATGGCGGCAGTAATCTGGGCTTGTGGCCATAGATGTCTGATTTCCTGTGGAAGTTGATTCATTAACAGTCAGCACTATTGAGAGCCCGGAGGCGTATCAACGAGATAAAAAAAAGAGAAATACCTTGAGGAGCAGACCGAAGTTGACAGTGTCTTCAGGCGAACGAGTATTACAGCCAATTCCTTCACTGTAATATTAAAAAATACCGTTAGAATCGTGATTAGTATAGAGCGAGTTGATGCTGCCGTCTGTTTATGAGAAAGCTTACCCATTGGGGTCTGAATGGAGATTAATCAGGAAACAGGGTCAGTACGTCTTAATACATTATCAAACGCTGATGGAGAAACTCAGGTTGAATAGACTCACATTCCCAGTCAAGGTCCAACCCAACGAAGCCGAGCTTCTTAGCATATTGAACTAAGTTCTTAGCGAATGCCTTTCTGCGAGCAGGTGTCGAAGATAGCTCTGAGAAGTGTCTGAGGACGGAAGAAAAATTGGTGTGAGATTGAATGACAAAGGAAAAAGATGAGGCGGGTAGACTGACCTTGAGCCGGTCCAGCCACCGTAGGAAAGGAGTGGGTTGACATTGTCTGAATAGTCGTGAGGATGTGATCGTGTATGTGAACATCAGAGACAAAGAAAAGAAAGGATAAGCTGCTGGAACTGAGAACTGGTTTTGCTATTGCAATTCGGATAGTCCGATATAGAGGTTGTGACTGACGTTGTTTTGCCAGACCAACGAACTCCACTGCTAGCTCTTCACCTTGCTTGGGGGTCAGCTTATCACCGTAGCTGAAGGTGTTGTTAGTTTCGGGCACAGCCACGAAAAAGAGCACGTCCGTGTAAAGGGCTGCGATGCGGTAAGAAGAAACAACAATGCTTCAGTTGGATCATCGACCAGTTATACAATGACACATAGTTTATCAAGGGGAGAAACATAATTTACAATAATCGACTTGCTTGGGCGATTGAATTTTGAAGTTGTAGACGGGATAGTAGCCCATAACTTTCTTCGTTCTCTTGAACTTGCCGACGCTGGCGCAGCCGCCCTTGTGCTTCTTGGAATCGACGGAGTTGGTCCCCAAAAAGGAGAGGAGGAGGATGCATGACGATAGCCAAACGGTCCAGGATACTGTCGATCTCATCTTGTGCGGCTGGTCTGAGGCTCTACGTTTATCAGGGAGTATGGGGGCGTTATTCGGATTGGGAAAAACGAAATGAAATGATCGAGCTCTTTCGGCGAGAAGTGAATTGATGGGGGTAAATGTTTATCGATATAATGCAGCAAGAGGAGGCAGGTACGCGAGAAAGGGTGGATGTGTGTGATGGGTGGATATGGTGCGGGGATAAGGGTAAGGCAGGATGAATTTATTTGTGACTGTGATGGTTGCTATATCGGACAGGGTTGGGACAAGATATCCAGGGGGACAGAATATAACAAAGGCAAGGGATAGGGACGGAAGAGCCAGGCCCAAGGCAAAGGCGGGAAGTTGCATGGTATTTATAGCATGCAGTTACACGAGATGGACGGTTGGGAAGGTTGCACATGGCCTCCTCAGCTAGCTTCAGGGTCACGACTCAGTCACGACTGTGTTAATTCTCGCCAGAATTGTTTGAACAAGTCTGCTCCTTAGCCGAAAATCCACCAAAAAGGATACAATGCGCGGTCTTTGGGTAGGCCTGGGTAGGCTGTATGTGTTTACATGCTGATACAGTCCGCAACGTTTTTCCTGCCATCTGCCGATGACTATCAACAGTGAGACGATATATTGATCCGTGTCTATCTACCTGGGCCAGGACGCGACCAATCAAGTCTCATCATCACCACCGAATGGCTGGCTCGGGCTCTGGCCTGAGGCTGCACCTTCTTGTGAGGACCGAGTCATGCTGTCACCACGGAAATGGTCGGTGCTCAACTCATCTGAAGCGATAGCAACTGTGAGATGCGCCGGATCTCAGGATAGCCTGTCAGACCCCGGCTCGGCTCATGTTCGGCCTGCCTGCACTTGGAGCCCGGATTCTGCTGTACGGCTGCAAGAAATGTTGATGCGAAGCGGCAGCTGGTTCGCATTTTGATGTACATGAATGAATCCCTTTTAAAACACCTTCGTTGTTTGCGTAGTATATGTGGTTTTTTTCTTGTGGGGTTTGCCACCGATTGAATCAAAACGCTGAGGCAATCTTGTGCCTACACATAAACACCTGCACACGGCACACGGCTCCACTTCGGAATAAGCACCTCATCGGTGCACTTTGGAATGAGCACCTCATGGGACTATGTACTCTCACTTCTTTCCTGTGTACTGCACCAGAAGTTTGGCTTGAGACTACACTATGACGTGAGGCTGCAGACTTGTAAGAAAAAGCCTCATTCAGTGAGTTTTTATGATGGAGGCCTCAAGTCTTGTGGAACATCTTTTTCTATTTTTCATCTGCTCTCATCTTGTCATCAAAATACCACAGTAGTGACTCTGGTTTATGTACTAGTAATTCTCCGCCAGCAAATGAGGGAGGACCATTTCCCCATGTTTCAAGTTGCACAAAAACCTCTGCTAAGGCTGAGCTAGTTGAATGCTTTAGCTACTTTCTTTGTTTTTATTTTTCTAGTCAAATGAAACCTATCCTTCCAAAAATTCCTCTTCTGGCTTAGTTTCTCTGCACCATCACCCAACATATTTAGAGGGCTGCCCATTTGTGAGGCTTAATCTATTACTCTATTCCGCTAGTAGCTGTGAAGATTTACCGAGAGGTAATCTCGCTGAAAGCTTAGATAATAAATAAAGAATCCAAATTCTCTGGCCACCGCTAGGAGAAAAAGGATGTATAATAATTATAATGATGTTCTTTTATGTTTTTAATTGTAACAAGTAATAACAAAATATGATGAGTAGAAATATCGAGATGAGGAGGAAAGAAGACCAACAAAGAGAAAGAGAGTCAACACTCTAGCTTGCCCAGCCTCTCCGTCGAACGCACGAAGTGCGGGAGAGGCTTGTGCCAAAAACGAACATGCCCGCGTGTCGATTTCCAATTTTGAGTGTTTTTTGTGCGGAAAATTCTAATAAATCGCTTTCTTAACTTTCATAGAGGAAAAATCTGGCACAATGTATCCCAGATGCCAAAGTAAATTTTCATCAAGAAATTACCCAGAAACATGTACAACTACATTCTAGGGAAACTTTGTAAATGTCCAAGAATCCGCTCAAATTTGTGTTTTTTGCTTATGTAATAGCTTCTCAAGGCTCGGAGCTCAACTTTAATTCTGATTTATTTCAATTTTTCATATTTTTCAAAAAAATCTTACTCATCCAGATTTCAGGACAAGTCCCTGAAAATTTGATGAGAGATCGGCAACATGGTCACCTTTGACCATGTTGACTTTGCCTTCCAAAAAACCAAAACTACATGCATGGTGGCTGATCTAAAAATCGCTACACCAAAACATGTCGATAGCAACACGCAAGCTTGTGCGTATTTGTCACAAGTCCCTCCTTCGGAGGCTCGCTTCGCGAGTGGCGCCAGCCAGCCCAAGTCACCAGGCCCGCAGAAGCGCGGGACTTGGTACAAGTTAGGTCAACACTATATATAACAAATAATCTAACCTACAACGATTGGAAAGATCTTCGATCATCTAATACGTCATCAATAAAGAGAATTGACAATCGCCGATCAGAACAATACGTCATCAAAGATCAGAATGAAATATAAATGCTCATGACATCATAGATATAGAATCAACCATTTTAACGAAAAACATTGCCGGACTGCAAGATAACGAAAACTCGTTACACCATTGATGTGGAATCAATGGAGGACTTCCTGTTGGTTCTGTAGCCCCTCACAACACCAGATTTGTAGGCCCTTGATTCAGATCTCCCTGCAAAATCTGACTTCAGTGGGTTCAAGTCTGATTCTGTAGGGTCTACAGATAATGATGGGAAGTCCTCCAATTTAGCCTTCCTAAATCTAAGGGCCTGTACCGTAGGGCTCAATTTTCAAAAATGGGCATTTTTTCCATCCTCTACACAAAAACTGGGAACAATTGGAGAGATCTGGTGTTGAAATTCTTCACTTTCATGCCAAAGACTAGCTTCTAGTTATGGTCAATTTTGATAATATAAAATTTTGAGCAAGATAAATTTTGGGAAATTGAATTTTCATGTCCTATGGTACAGGCCCTAAATTCTAAATCTGCTATGACAAGAACTCATTAGCAGGGTTCACAATACAATTTCGTCAGGAAAAATATTAAGCAACTCAGGATTTGGGAGCGCTCAAACCTGGGGTTAATTTTTAATCAAAATTAAGCTTAATATTTAACCAATCAAGGAAAGGTTTTGTGAAGTTTAAGCCTTAATCTGCACTCAGGAACCCTTAAGGCTTCCTGAGCTCAGGAAGCCTTAGAGGTTCCTGTGTTGGGATTCTGAGCTTAAATCAAGGCTTAAATTAAGCTCAGGATTTCATGATTCAGGAAAAATTTAAGCTGGGTTCAGGAAGCAAAAATCTTATTTATGGTCTTCAAAGTTAAATTTCATAAACTCATAACCACATAAATCATGATATCTTAAAACCTTGTTTGCAGGGGATCTTGGTAATCTGATTATGTAAGCTTAGGCTTTCCCAGCCAAAATAGTTTTATGCGCCCATGACTTTATGAAATTTGACTTTGCAGACCATCATTGCAACGGTGGGCCGCTACACTAACCATAGCGGTTAGTGTAGCGTAACGCAGTGGAATTGCTGTTAGCGCTAAGCGTAGTGTAGCGGAATTCTGCCACGACACTGCTAACGCTACGTGTGTGGGCCGCAAAAAAGGGCCCACTACGCTGCGCTACAGCGCTTTTTAGCAGTTTTTGGCCGCTTTGTCCGCTAAAAGCGCTGTAGCGCAGCGTAGTGTAGTGAAAAACCAATAAAAAAACGCTAACACTACACTTTTTTAATGAAAAACGCACCTCTGCGCTAAGCTTTTTGGGCTAAAAGCATAGCGTAGCGGCCCACCACTGATCCTTGTGAACCCCAATATCATAGGGGGTGGGGTGGTCATGATTGAACTTGAGAGCCATTTTTAAGGTGTTTCTGGTTGAATATATATATATTTGGGATGTGCAGCAGGTTCAGAAACCCCTAAATCTGGAAAATTCAAAAAAAAAATATAAGATGTTGCTCAGAAAAATTGTTCTCAGGTTCAATTGTGAAGCCCCTTAATATGACTTAATTCTTTTCGCACAATCCAACTTGGGATTGAGGATGAAACCTTTTAAGCAAGGGGTTTCTCATGATTGCCAGGAATTTCTCCCTTCTACATTTCTATCTGCATTGAAATTAATAATCTAGAAGATATGGTAAAGGAAGACGGGATCACTTCCTGTCAGCATTCACAACCCTTGCAGAACTTGACAAAAAAACTTTCTTCAGGGGCCTTCTAATGAAGGCCCCATGTGAGCTAGTTGTGTTTTTGATTGAAGTGTTAGTTGAGAACTGAGAGGGGTATAAAAAACACTCTAAATTGTGACAGGAGGTCTTCCAGCTGTGGTATTTTTCTTTATATAAGCTACCTACTTGAAAATCTAATTAGAGGAAAGTGATACACAGCTCCCTCATCTTTGCCCAGTCAAAAGAAATATATCAGGGGAAAAAAGCATTTGTGATTGAGCTTGGTACCCCCAAAGAGAGAGAGAATATGTGCAACACACAGTTGTATGCTAATATCTGCCTACGCGGAGATTGAAATGTTACTGACATCAATACATTTCTTATCTTATTTGGCCAAAATATTTCATCTATAACCAAAAAAAATCAATTGTGGTAATTCAAATTCCAAGGGATTGAAATATTTTGGGTGGGTAGATGAAAACAACTTCATCCAAGTCAAAAAACAAACCACATAACAAATGAATTCTCAATAACATTTTTTCTGATCCATAAAGCAGTATCATATTGGCACCTTCAACTTTCAGCACCAATTAAACTGTGAGTTTGGCCACTGATGCATAGGCTATCCTACCTCACCATCCCCAAAAGGAATATTTCAAGGATAATGCTGTGATGGCATTTTGGCTAGATCAAAATAATGATTAGGTCCCATCCAATCCTCTATCTTTTATATCATGGCTTGCAAGGATTGCAAATTTTTTATATTTTCTGGGATGTGGTTCTTTGAGGTTAAGCTGATCATGAGGGGGCTGATAAGAATTTGCCTGTATTTTAGAGGCACACCTTTTTTTGTTGGAGACCACAAGTATTTCCTTCCAGCCATCAAGAAAGTACAGTATTGATGGCCAGGAGGCATTCAACCCAGGCATCAAGACTGTACAGGTCTTTCCATTTTGAATGAGTCTGTTGGACCTCCAGACTTGCTAAAATATGTACAGGGTTTCAACTTTCAATTGTTGAGATGAACACCCTGGAGACATGTGTGTTGGAAAGGATAGTGAGTTCATTTCAACATAACAAGAGAAAGAGAGAGAAAAGGAAAAAAGGACCACACCTGGAGACATGTGTGTTGGAAAGGATAGTGAGTTCATTTCAACATAACAAGAGAAAGAGAGAGAAAAGGAAAAAAGGACCATACCTGGAGACATGTGTGTTGGAAAGGATGAGGAAAAGTAAATCCTCCCAGGCACACATGAATCCAGTATATGAACTGAAACAAAACAACTGAATTTCACAGAGTGTGACATGAGAGAAATGAAAGAAGTGAAAGAAGAAATAAGCACAATAACTACGGTGAACATGTAGCAGTCAATGACATGTCACAGTATCTCAACATCAATCCATGTACTTGGGTGTCTTGGGAATATCCCAAAGGCATCTTTGGGTGATTATGGCTGAGATTGTTACTTGAAAAAGGTAGGTGAAGGCTTGCTTGTTACCCCCTTCAAGTGTGGGCCAGTTACACTAACCATAGTGTTAGTGTGGTGTAACACAGAGGAATTCCACTAAAATACAGTGGAATGTAAAACCCCTCCCCTGTTGGGTTTCACAAGGAGTGCCACAGACTAGAATTCCTTGTAGATATAAGCAATCTGCTTGAGATCCATACCTGGCTCCACAGAGAACTGATCCCCCATCTCTATGAGCCAGGTAATCCCTTCCTTTCTCATTTTCCTTTCATATTTTTATCCAGTAATCAAACCCCTCAGTGTTTGGTCCTAGAATCTGCTTAGGCTAGATAGCCTGTCCCACCGCACTGTTTCTCAGCTCTCTTAGTGAAGTACAATTCATTCTTCACATGGAATGTAGCAGAATTCTGCCTAACCAGCACTAGCAATATGCCTGAAGGCCTCCAAATTATTCTGAACATGCTGCACATTATGGTTAGTTAAATTTTGGCCCTGTAACAGTTGTTAGTGGCCTGTGGCGCAGAGTAGTGTAGCAAAAAACACTAAAATTGTGCTAACACTACACAATTTCTGTGCAAACAAATACCTGCTACACTAAAGATTTTGAAATACACTATTGGTGCCAATCAGGATTGCTGGATTAAAAGGACCAAGGTGTGTACTTGATGTCAGATTTTTCAATAAAATGTCTTTTGTATATGCCCAATAGAATGGCATGGAAACAAAAAAGACCAGTGCTCCTGAATTGAATGTATGTTCCAAAATGAAGACAAATAAATTTGAAATGACAAGATATTAAGAATATTCAAAAAATAGCTAACATTGATTAGGTTTCATTTGTTGAATTGTAAATATTGTGAAATCAGGTGAAATATACAATTATTGCAGTGGAGCCATGTACAGTATCCTCCCAGATGTTTATGAAACATCAATTACTCCATTTAAAAAAGAACTATCACATGTGAAATACAAGTTTTTGTGGAGTGGTGGATAGGGGGACAATAAAAAGGAATATGAAACAAAAAAACAAAAAGCAAAATTCATTGCATTTTAAAAAAATAAAAGCATCATTCAACTTCTTTTATTTTCTTTAATAATTTTTTTAAAAATACAAAATCAAGTGGGGAGGGTAGCTGAGAGGTGGGAGATAATGATTATGAAATAAAAAAATAAAATAAAATAAAAATAAAATAAAATCAATATTTGATGGGGATTAATAAACGTACCCCCCTTTTCTGCTATCCACACCCGGTTTTTCACACCTGGTTTTCTGCTTCTAAACCCGGTTTTCCCCAGCCTTTTTAATTCATTTTTTGGAAATTCTGAATATTCTGAAAATCTTCTAAAATTGATCATTCTTTTTGCGTATATAAAAAAATCTTCAAAAGAGAACTTCATTTTTTTTTCTCACCCATTTTTTCCCAATTTTTTTTGACCCTATGAACTCTTGAAAACTTGAATTAAAGCCAAAACTTATTATTAATTGTCAAGTTTTTAATTTTTCTTCTCCATACAGATGGTACCATTCAAGATATTAGGGGGTATCAAATATAGGAAATCCACCATCAGAAACCAGTCACTTTTCCAAAAACATTTTTTTGCATAAATGGGCCCTAAAAGGGTTTAAATGGATAACCAACATGTTTAAAAAAAGGTGGATTTTTGCAAATCAGTCAATTAAATAATGGTGGATTTGGTTATATTTGATACCCCCTATTCCTTATTTTGTCCATTTGCTTATAGCTCAAAACCAACAACATTGGGATTTCCAAAATGAAATCAAATTTGGTCCTTTATAGATTTCCCAAAGATTGGGAAATATCAATGATAAATTTAAGTGTACTTTGAATTCTCAAAAACTCATAGGCAGAAAAAAAAACTTGATGAATCAGATAAATTAAAATTAAAATCAAAATTTCTCTTTTGAGGATTTTTTATATAGGCAAAAATAATGATCAATTTTAGAAGATTTTTAGCATATTCAGAATTGCCAAAAAATGAATCAAAAAGGCTGGGGAAAACCGGGTGTAGAAGCGGAAAACCAGGTGTGAAAAACCGGGTGTGGATAGCAGAAAAGGGGGGTATGTTTATTAATCCCCTATTTGATTGGCCCACCAGAGGCCTCCACAACCAGACATATTCTGCTATTCAATCAAGGCCGGCCGCTCTTCTCAGCGGTTTTGACAGTCCCAAGAGTCTGAGCCTGTGAAACAATCACAGAGACTGTTGTTTTTCCGGAGCCCACGACCCTAGCAACTTGCCCATGAGACATCCCGGCAATGCAAGCCTTCTGCTTGGTTGTGAGGTTGGGGTGTCCTCGGATATGTCCCATCAAATCGTTCCTGTTCCACATGTGAAGAAAAGAAGCAAAAAATCAGAAAAAGAAACAAAAGAAGAAAAAAACAATAGAAATACAGACTGATGTCTGATTTGCGTGTAATGAATTTGTCCCTAGGTCAACCGAGTTCGTTCCAAGGTCAATCAAACTTTTCCAAGATCAATTGTTGATGAGCAAGGTTTTTCTCTGATGAGTCATTGGCCAATGAAGAGGTTGACTCGCACCCGCGCACTGCAGTTTAGTGCGCGGGTGCAAGTCAACTTGTGACAGTTCACCCCCAGACATAGATATCTGGGAGGAGACTGTACATATAATCACAATTTACAACCCAATCAATGAAGCCTAAATAAAATTGAATGAAACATTATAAAAAATTTCACCTAAGGGTTTTAGTATTACACATTGGGTAATGAAATTCCCAGGCCCAAGCCTCCTTGAAAGCATTATTTCTCCAAATTTCCAAAACCATAGGTCTTGGGAAAATATAATCACTCTTGAGTTTGAGTGTATAAAATGAGGAATGCCAGAAATGTGACCAAATATGATGGGTGGATTGTCATTTGGAGGACGAAAGTGAGGGAAGAAGGTGGAAGACCTTACTGTTGAAAATACAAACACCGGTGATTTGTATGCATTTGCAATTGCTTCTCCAATGTCAGGAAAACACATCCAATGGCTCTCTCCACAAGCCCCTTCTGAAGGTGCATAAATTTCCCATAAAGCAATATCAATATTTTTAGCCACTGGAAACATTCCTTCTTGGCTGTAAAATTCTCTTATATTGGTGATTTCTTTTGTAATCTCTTTTCTGATTTCATAAAATGAATCTTCACCTCTACCAAGGCAGAAGGCAGTCACACAATATCCACAGTGTCCATATACAAACCTCACATCCAAAACCTTCACAATATACCTTTGAAGTACTATTGGGAATTCCTTGATGAGGTCATTTCTTTCAGTAAGGGGTGGTGGTGGTAAGTTTTAACTATTGAATTGGGGTTTCCTCAATGTTAACTTTTGTTCTTTTTTCAAGAAATGTTCTATAAGTGATTTTGAAACATTTTGGATAGTCTTATCAATGAGATCATTTGCTTTTTTTTGACTTTGAGATTGAGAAAATAGTTGATTTTCTTGAAATTTGCTCTTCTTTTATACTTGTAGCAAACTCCTTCAACAATCCATCAACTGGAAAAAAATATCTGTGTTTCATTTCTTCATCAAAATTTTGTTTCTGAGCTGAGAAATCTGGAATAAAAAAAAAATTAAATGAGCCACCATTTGATATTTTTAGTTTCAAGTAAAATTGAATTGGTTGAAGGAAGGCCAACCATTCATCATTTCAAATAAGATCCCAAACTTTGATTTTTAATATTTTTTTTCTGTGACTATTATGTTGGATATTTTTCATAATGGGTTTGAGATTCAAGATTTAGTAAAATGAGATGGCACTTGAAATAATCATGATCAGTTAAATTTAAGGCAGGGTAAAACTTCTCACCATCCCTGTGAAAGCTATTCAAATTAGCCATTCCCTCAGCTTAAGTATTACGATTAATAAAGAATGAGATTTCTTCTTGTAAAAAATCAAATTCCCTGATATTCACAGAATTAACCTTCTCTATCTTCAATTTCTTCAGCATCTGCAAAGAAAAGAAACCATCAATTTCCAAGACCCTAAAAAAAGGAAACATAAAAATAAAACAAAAAGCATACAATCTGATTCTCTTTTTTCTATTCCTGTATGGACATTTACTTGTTCTTCTGAAATTTCATAATTCAAGTGCAAAAAGTAAGATTTCATCCCTTTTACACTGAAAACAATAAAAATAACATACCAATGATCTCTTTTGTAGTTTCAGGTGCACTTTTATACTGGTAGTTGTGGGGGGATCATTGATTTCTCCTCTCTTGATCAGTTCTTTAGGATGTGAAGGTGGGTGTGCTGAAGTACTGTGGTACTGTATGAGCTGGAAAGCAACCAAGATGATTTTAACCAACATTCTTATAATATGGGTAGCTTGGTTCAAGAATTTAATTGAAATAAGTTCAAGATGGCAGAATCCGGGTCAGATGAGGGTGATAATGATCAAGGTTTGTTGGTAAATATTCTTATAATCAGTGCAGATAATCTTAATGATTATGATGGAAATGGTCTCAATCAACCATTCAAACCACAAGAATCTTCATAACCTAACTTGTCTCCCCCTTCTGGATGTCTGGACAAGGCTTCTTTTTATTTCTGTATAGTGTGTTAAAATAAAAATACATATGATGAGTTTGTACAGCAATTTCACAGAGACCCTCAATCATACTCAAGCTTGAGCATGTTCCATTAGGGGGTATCAAATAAAGGGTATCCACCATTAGAAACCAGTCACTTTTCCCATTTTTTTTGCATTAATGGGCCCCAAAAGGGGTTAACTAATGAATTAACATGTTTAGAAAAGGGTGATTTTTCAAACCAGTCAATTAAATAATGGTGGATTTGGTTATATTTGATACCCCCTATTGTGCCAATAAAATCTTGTTGATTCTCAATCTGAAGCTTGAAGGGGGTGATCATAAAATGTCTTGAGCCAATATGGATTTTTATGCCTGCTATAGATAGTATTTTCTTTCCCTGAGGCAAGTCACAAGTTGGCCTATGAATTGGATCTTGGATTTTAAGGTGATTTTTCATAGCTCTTTCTAGTCCTCCAATTTTATATCTCTGAATCCGGCTTGAACCATCTCAAGGAAACAAGCTCATATTGAAAGATACAGCTAATCCCAGAAAGTTTGTAACCTTGAGCTGAATTTTCAGATCAAAAGGCTTATAAACTTGCACTAAAATAAAGGCTTGATTACTTGATTAATGGGTCAAGCCAATGGAATGGATTTATTCAATCCTTGCATTCACATTCAAGCCAACAGAATGGTATCACCTAAGACAGAATGTTACTTCCAACAGAAGCCAAGCCAACTGTGGTGTCTGAATTTCCCACTTCTATATAAAGCAGAACAAATTTTTTTGGCAGTGGCAAGGGGGTTGGGAAACCACAATATTTTGTGTCAATAAATAGTCAACCAGACTACAAAAAAAACATTAAAAAGGAATTGGTCCAAGATTTTTGAAAAAACACCATATGTTTCAAAATAAAAAGAATTTGAAAAGAGGAAAGAATTAATTCATTTGCAAGAAAATAGAATAGAATAAAATGGCTAATATGTAATGGAATTATTGAATAAAAAATGAATCACAATGTGGTCAATCAGTTTGGGTACATGAGCTCCCATTCCCGAGCATGCTTGGAAGCATTTTTCATCCAGAAATATGAAGCCTGAGGTCTTGGGAAAAGATGATTACTTTTGAGTTTGAGTGCATACACATGATGAATACCAGCAATATGACCAAATATGATTGGTTTGTTATTATTTGGTGGACAGAAGTGAGGAAAGAAAGTGATAGGCATTTGATCTGAGAAAAGAATTACTGGGGTTTTATAGGCATTGGCCATCAATTCACCAGCATAAGGAAAAACCATCCACTGGGTATTTGGACACCAGCTTGCGGAAGTTCCCTTGATTTGCCATATAGCATCATCAATATTTTTTTCTGAAAAGATTCCTGTTTGAATGTAATATTCCCTTCTGATTTTGATTTCTTCCACAAGCTCTTGTCGGACTTCAAAAAATGAATCTTCACCTCTTCCCAGGCAGAAAGCAGCCACACGATAACCACAGTGACCACCAGGCTTTACATCATAAACCTTTTCAATGTAGGGTTGAATGAATCTTGGGAGTTGTGTTATTAGGTCATTTCTTTCAGGAAGGGTGGGTGGTGATAAGTCAGTAGTTTTGGCTTGGAAATTATTCTCCAATATTCTTTCCTTCTCCACTTCTTCATGTGGATTATCCACAAAAAGAAAATTCTCTAAGAGTGATTTGATCACATTATTTTCCCGCCCACTGTGAATATTTGAAGCCTGTGTTTTTGTGCTGTGATCTGAGAACCAGTTTATCAGAAAGGAAAGCTTTGTTTTTACAATTTCTTTGTTGTTTCATGGAGATTCATTAAGCCAATCATCAAAGAGGTCATCAATTTTTTGTGAAAATTTTTTTGATGAAGATTGTGTTAAAGTAATAAAGAGTTTCAACAAAACATTTAAATGAGCCATGATTTGATATTTATTATTCAAATGCTGCATTGAGTTTTGGTAAGAAAAGCTACTTACCACGTTGAATTTCTTCCAAATTGCTTCTGTAATGTACCATTGGTGAGTCCTCATGCAATTTCCCTAAGCTTGGTTCTTTTTTGAATAATAGGGATTTTGAGATTAAAAATAAATAAACTTATATGGTTATGAGCAAAATAAAGCAGCATACCCTCTGATTCTCTCATTGCTATTCCTTTATTTTGATTTCCTAGGCGTTTCAAAAAATGATGATCATCAATGATTAGCATTCAAATATAAAACGGAAGATTGAATCTGTTTCCAATAGAGAACAAAAGATTCATTATAGAAAAATAACATACCATTACCAATCATCGCTTTTGTAGTTCCTGGCCTTTTTACATGTTGGTGATTGCTTGAAGAGACAATATCAAAGTCTCCTCTTTTGACCACATCTCCAGGAAGTGAAGCTGGGTGTGCTGAAGTACAGTGATACTGTAAGAGCCGCAAAACAACCAAGATGTTTGTAAACAACATGATTATGAGTAGCTGGGCTAGTGGTCAGCTGAGGATGATAATGATGAAAATGCTGACAACGCTGCTACAGATACAATACACTGTGTGTATCATGGAGAATTCTGCAAAGCTGCATGGCCAAAAACCAAATTTGTTGAATCTCCTTGCAAATAAAAGCAGATTGGTCAGATAGTTTTTTTTTATTGGGGCTCAGATACATAGTGATACATGGCAGATACGGGCAGATACCGTATCTGTGGCAGCGTTGATGCTGATCAGGGAAGTTGTACTGGTAACGATGATGATAACCAGGGTAGATAATATCAATGATGATGATGATGAGAAATGGGATGCTGAGAAGAGTCAACCTGCTGAACCACAAGGCTTTTTATAGCCTAACCTGTCTCCCACTGCTCCATGTCTGGACAAAGGTCATCGTTGGCATGTGCCAGCGTCCTTGCCGTATCTTATACGAATGATGAGTTTGTCCAAGGATTGTATTTTGTAGACTCCTTCCCAGACGCGACTTTGCGCCGGCATCCCGGTGAGACAGACTCCGAGGGTTGTGAATTTTTGTATTTGCTAAGCTATTAACAGTCGTTGATTTTTTTTCCTGAGACAAGTCACCAGTTGGCCTGTAGATTGGACCTCGGACTGTAAGTGATTTGTCATGGCTCTTGCAAGTCCTCCAAGTTTGTATGCTGGCTTGAGGCCGGCTCGAAGAAACCAGCCCATGGTACTAGCCAAAGATAGGTCTTTCCGATGAGACGATCGAGGCTGCATCTTTTCCACCAAAAGAGAACCTGTTGGAAATTGAATCAACTCGAACCAAATGAGCAAACGGGGGTTCTTGACATTCTCTACCGATTCTCCTTCAACTAAGACAAATGACAACAAACATGCATTCACACTACAAGCAATACCCATTTTGCCCCAACAATAAATGGCAATTTGGGTGGGGGAAAATGGATCAATTTTCTGGCACTTTTTTCCAAAATGCCTCAGGAGTAGAAATTGGGCTAAACTGAGCTATTTTAGCCCAGAGATAGAAATTCATCAAACATTCCAAAATGTTTTTTTAGCTCATTTGAGAAATTTTTATTTTTTGGCTAAAATAGCTCATTTTAGCCTAATTTTTTACTCCTGAGGCATCTTGTAAAAAAAAGGCCAGAAAATTGATCTATTTTCCACCATCCAAATTGCCATTTTTCCTTGGGGCAAAATCGGTATTGTTTGTAGTGTCACAGTGTACAACATACCACGAACCACAACACTCACAAATGATGACAAAAGCTAGTTGGCATATAAAACTAGACCTATGTGAACCATAGATAAAGTACTAGAGTAGCATATTCAGGTAAGAATATGCATTATAGTCGATCGAAAATCGAGCGCTGAGAAAAGGAACGTAACATTTCGAGCATATGTATATGTAATGGTACACATCCGACAAGCTTTGGAAGGACGAGAGGATCGTTGGTATAATAATATTGTGTATATTCGCTTTTGTGATGGGATAAATATGGTAGCAAAAAAACTATGTATGGTAGATATTTCGATGTAGTCATTACAGGGCACAGCCGGTCGACCTTGATCGTCCCCCCCCCCCCCCTCCTCCTCCCTCGTTTGTGATCTTACTGATGCCCAGTTATTATCTGGCCTATGATGTATTTCATTCTGGTTTGCTCTTGCTCTTGTCTTTTTTTTTTTTTTGAATTTAAATGTGAACACTATTGAGTTTTAACAAATCTAAAACAAACAGAAAAGAAGCCAGAAACATGGAATTAATAACCTCATCTCGTAGAGGAAAGATCAAAAAAGGAGGAGGGAAGAGAAGAGAAGAGAGAACATACGTCGCGTCGATTTGGATCAGTTGGGGACAAGCAAGCATGATTTTCCTGCGATAATTAGCGCCCATTTCGAGTTGCAGAGGGTTACCTTCGAGATAGACGGTCTGCAGATTAGCCATATTACTTTGAGATAGACTGCCTTCGATCGCACTCCATCCGGCGACTGTCAGCTTGTTGTTATTTGCCTGTTTCCCTCCCCAACAAAAACAGTCAATTAAACTGATCAGTTGTCCCCGATTATTTTCACAATTTTTTGGCCTTAGGGAGGGTGGTGGGTTGAAATATACTGACCCAGAGTTCTTCTAATTGACTAAGACCCTCGATCCCGCTCATGTCATTAATCTCATTCGCCCCAACGTCCAAAACCCGAAGTTTTTTCTATCCTCCCTCAACCAATCCCAAATTCAATTTATAATCAACCTTCTGTTAGCTCTCGGAATGATTTAAATTGGTGTTTGTTGTTTGGGGGAGAGCAACGGGGAAAAGAAAGTTGGTTTACATTTGTAGAGAGGCCTTCTCCTATCGAAGTCAGTCCGTTATGGCTGATATACAACTCCTCCAAACCGACCAAATTCTCCAAGCCTTCCAATTTAACGATCCGGTTGGATTGTATCGAAAGCTAGAGAGAAAGCCATCTCGATCAGCCTTATCTCCAAGCTTGTCTGTATGGATGCAAGAAGAACACTCTGAGTTGTGTTTTTTTTTTTTTTTGTGACGCACACTTCGGAGGTTGACGAGCGCATCCAATCCTTCGAGTTTGGAGATCTTGTTCCGGCCTAACCATAGTTCAGTCAAGTTGGTCAAACAAGCCAAGTTGGTGATTTGCTATACCCCGTCAAAAACCAATCAGTATTCACGCATAAACAAACTTGGAAGATATAACGAACTGACTCGGATTCGATTACTTCCAAGTTCCAAACTCGTGAGCGTGTTCGCCAGATTATCGAGGGCCTCGATCTGCGAGATCTGACCAATTCGAACATTCAAAAGTGAATGAAATGGTGTGATTTGATGAGTTTTGTCCTCTCAAAAACAGAGGCTATCAAAATACTTCAGGTGGTCGTGGTGGAAATGGGACAGAGACGATAATCGTCCGAACCTTATTTTGGATCAGGTAGAGGGTCGTCAATGAGCGCAATGAGTCGAGGTTTTCGATCCGTCTGATCAGGTTGAAGCTAAAATCCAAGGTCCTGCGAGGGAAAGTTTACCGTAGAAATTGCAATCGAAGGGGAGTAGATAGAAACGACGTCGATATAATCAGTCCCTGGGCCAAAACCACCAAACTGAGTGGAATGGTTAAACACTTTAGGTTGTGCAAGTTTTCAAGACCCTCGATCTTCGCGATCTGATTATCGTACAAATCCAGTTCCTCTAATCCTTCTAAATGTCCAAAGGGTGCGATGACCTCTAGAAGTATTTGGTCCGGGGTTTCATCTTGCGAGCTTTCAGGTGGCTGATTATCCTTAATTTCGGGTGGGGTGGCTTTGCTTTCGATTCGAGGGTTGAACTTGAGTTGGTTGATCAGGTTCTGGCGCAGGTTGATCCGCTTTAACGAGGGGGCCAATCGCTCCAAATGTCGCTCAAATCCTCGCAGGGTCCTGATTCGTGAATGAGAGAGTTCGAGTTCCTTGATCGCAGAGAGTCCGGGTTGGTTTTCATCAGAGTGAATATTGTACATATTTCAATGTCTGAAGCACTCTCGACGTTCTTGGCTTTGGCCCGATCAGAGTAGCTACATACCTCTGCGCCTTCTTTGAATTCGGTCAATAGTTCTGTTTTTATTCGGTTCGAAAAGAAATTTGATTAGTCAGTAGGTTGAAATGTTCAATAATAGGAAGTACGATTATGGATGCTACTGACCTTCGTTCTCTGCCTGCCAGACCGACTCGTCCTTGGCGCCTTCGATCGCTTGTGCCTCCAGGATGGCCTGTCGTTCCTGTATCCCATCCTGGTAGGATGCTTCATCCAGTCGGGCTACTGCTGAGTCGATCGTTGGAGATTGGATGGGCTCCGAGTCTGTTGGCTTGGTCTCTGACATATTGTTTTCGAAGTCAAGGAAGTTGTTTGATGATTTTTGGAGTCGGAGGAAAAAGGGAAAACAAGTTGAGACCTGAATGTATGCGTCTGCAAGGGCATTTACATAAACACATCTGGATAACCAACCACCACCTAATCATTTGCAAGTGGTACATACAAAACACAACAAGATGCTCTCTTGAAATTTTGCATTCCAATTTTTCACTATGATCCAGATCAAAAAAAAAAATTAAAAAAATTAAAAACCAAACAAGAACATATTTACATGTAATGTCAAGATTTAGTTGGAAGTATCTCCTTGTGAATATGACACCCAAGGCACATTCCAAGAATTGTTATGGGCTTTCAACATGTATGTCACTTGGGACTACCACAAACCTTTGCAACAGAGCTATTCTGATGGATGAACATTTGAATGTGATAGCCTGAATTCTTCTCATTTATGATTAGTCCCTGAGACCAGAAATAAACAGACCAGCTGATGATGGGGTCCAGATTGAAAAGAAAAGATGCCAAATCCCTAATTGATTGATCAGTTTCTTATTCTGTCTTGTTTACTCACCTAACTGAATCTATGAACACTCCATTTTTTTTTGGATTGATTGTTTCATTCTTCTAGAAAAAACAACTGATTTTAGGGTCCTCCTGGGCCACCACGCTTTGTGGCCAAAAAGTGCTAACATAGAAGGCCCATTCAATGTCTATTGCCACAATTTTGTCAGCAGAATTTTGGCACAACACTGCTCTTAGTGGTAAGAACCACTATAAATCGGTACAACACAATTATATGCTTCTCATCATCCATCTGTGTAATCACATGAGTATGGCATCCACTAGCTCTTTATAGTATCCAGACAAGCAGGTCTTTACATTCAATTCCTCAAATAAATTCAGTCACAACCACTTTCCTTTTCAAATCCTTTGTCATGTGGAATTGACATGACATAAGTTAATTTAAACCCACATGTCTGTGACTAGTGGTTAGATCTGTGTAACTGTGATCCTCATTAGGTTACATCATGTTTTTGGTGGACCAGAAATAAAATTTCTACGTGCATTGAGAGCAAAGAAAAGCATAATAAAGACTAACACAATGATTCAATATGTTTTTTTTTTTTTTTCAGAAATGATTTTTATTCTTTATGGATTTCACATTGTCAAGGCTTTTCCATGCACGCTAAAGAATGATTGAACAATTGAATCTGGGCTGAGAACAAACCCAAGCTTTAAATTTCAAGGAGTGATGCTAACCTTTGGAGTTCCGAATTAGTGTGACCAGGAGTTTTCTGAAGCCCTTGATGTATTGTTTGAATTTTTTGCACAAGAATGTTAATCACTTCTGGTAGATGGGTTCCCAACCCAAGCGATTCGATGTTCAGGTTCAGGTCGTTTGACATGGGCATGTTTGGCAGCAGAAAGGACTTTCCACGTTCGTCTCGTACTTCAGAAAATGTGTCGATTTTGAAGATCGACTGTCGTTCCCTTTGCCATATGTCCGCCAAAAAGTTTTTTTGAATGACTCCCAATCCGTGTGTTTTGAACGCGTCTGATTTCCGATCAGGCAGCTGTAGCAACTTCCTAGCAAGTTGGAGATACGTTACGCGAAGTGACTCGGAATAAAGCATGACGACTTTCTCTAAAGCTTCGATTTTTGGAAACTCGGCCATTTGTCGGATTTGAGCCATGTAATGTTGGGATAAGCTCGATGGTTCAACGTGATGTTGGACGATGAAACGTAGCATATCGTTCAAAGTCTTTGCTCTTACTAGCAGATTCTCTTGCATGTCGATTGAGGTTGGCTTTAAGGGTTGAGTAGATTCTGGGAAAATCCCATGGATCACCTTCTTTAAAAACACTTGATAAAGCGTCTGAATCGTGTGTTCATCCAAATCATGGAACGCTCCAGGGGCAGTGAGAATGCGGAATTCTTTCCCCAAATTCGAGATGTCAGGCAAGGAAGCGAAGGTTGCTATTTGGCAGTCCAAATATAAGCGTTCTATATTGCGCCAACTTTCTGGATCCAATTCTAATGGCAAGTGTCAATAAGCAACAAATCAGTCCTCATCCCGCTGGTATATTCAAAAAGGGATGTGCCTATCATATTGGCTGTCTAGGAAAATGAAAGTGAACTGCTTGGGAATCGACTAACGTTCCAAGAGTTCATGTATCAGACGAGTGGAAGGGCTTTCTTTCATACTAGACTTCAAGTCGAAGATGAAGTACGTGTCTGGAATGTGGCGAGTAGGAGGGTGTCGGCCAATGAGCCAATTGAATATCCAGCGGCCTCCATTTCGCTTGTTCAGAATGTCGCGGATTAACTCGTCACCGATGAGACCCTTTTGATCCAAACCTGCAAGCAATTCAACGAAAAGGTCGTTCATGAGGTAGATCAAGGAGAGAGCTTCGACATTGACTTTTTGAGATGCGAATGCTTCCTTGTCCTGCAAAAGGGTGCACGATTTTTCAAATCCATGCAAGATGTTTAATACCAAAGGTGCATTATTTTCTTGAAGAGATTTGTCCCTGGAAGCTATGTTGATCAACCGGTTCAGCCGGCTAGGAGGATTGGGATGGAAAATCGCGCTGAGACCTTTGAAGATTTGAGCTTGAATTTCTTTGAGCTTTATTTCGTATTTTGGTTTAAGCCCAATATTGGAGTCGAAAGCCATGAAAACATGATAATTTGCCGATCTCAATTCATTTTCCAGCTGACTGCGGACAGCTAAAATTTTTACAAAAGTTCCATGTCAGCTTATGGAAACGTGTAGTACAAAACAACGCAAGACGTGTTTTACAAAACAGGACTGACATTCAAGTTGCCACGGCGAATAATCTATCAGAGAAAAATGTCAGTCGATTCAATCTTCTTGAGCTTGAAATTTTATCCATCAGACGCGTGCTCACCTTTTGCTGCTTCGATCCTCTGGGCTCTTCTCTCTTCACGGGTTACTAAATTGAGGCGAATAGAACGGGCCGTGGTTTGGATTTATTTGATACAAGGCTATAGGAACAAAGTAGAACACTCACGCGGGTCTATTTTCAGATAATCCAGAATCCAGATATCAATTACTTTGAAAAATCAAGCATGAAGTTTGCGAATTAGGTGTCGTCTCACCTTGCCAGTTGCTCATAAGGTCTTGTCTGTGCTCGATGGATTTGGGCCGATTGATGAATAGCAATTCATTCGTAATTTCTAGTGATGAAAACACATTCATTTTTAATTTTGGAAGATGAGGTTCACCCCGAAATTACTGAGGTCTTACGATGATCGGGAGTCAGGTTCCTTGACGTAGGCCTTGCTTGAGGATCCCTCACGTTTAGTAGGTTAGCGGTTTCTATGTAGAGAGAGGCTACCATCTTGAGAAACTTTGACATAGTATGTTATATAACATCAGTTTGTGACATACCACTTCGTGCTTGCTGGTATACGGAAAACTCGTCCTCCGGGAGAGTAGACAAACCGTCTGCGGGAAAGCAGTTAATCTTCAAAGCTAAACCCAAGAAGCATAGTGATAAAAGCGAGAAGCGTGTTGGTAGAGTGGTCCAACGGATGGGAAGGCTCATGGTTAGCTTCAACGGGGACGTCACGGTGGGTTCAACTGGGCGTCTTGTCACTAGCTCTCCTCATGGGAACTTATGAGGAATATTTATGGCAATCAATTGGCGTCAAAAGAGTGAGCTTAGCGTGCCAGGAGTCTATGGGTGCCTGGAAGAAAGGTAGCTCCTAATGCTTGTTTCGGTAGGCTGGGCTGCTTCACATTTTGTATCCCATGTAGAGCCGGGGTCTGCCAGGTTTCGTATGCATGCAATCCAAGATGGCAAAAGAGAGCAGAATGACCAAGAAGATTTTTATCCTCTATATGCTGAAACAGGCAAGGCCCTAAGTACCAAGTAAGGCTTGCCCCCGGGGTTTGGGACGGGGTTGGAAGCCCAACCTGAGGGACAAACCCCGCACTTTTGGGTTCAAACCCTGAAACCCCAGGGCTGTACTACCATCCAACCATGAGATTACTATGTAGTGTACCTTTTTTTACTGACATCATTAATAGTCCATAAGTTAAACCGTTGAGTTCATAGACTAGCAACTTCTTTTTATCTTACATTCTCAAAGCTTGGCACAGTGAAGCTCATTTCACTCTTGCCCCTTACAAACATAAGTAGCAAACCCCTCCACGTTTAAGTGTTGAGGAGAGGGTCACTTTCATTGACCACCTCTGTGGTTATAGTGAGACCCAAAAATCTCATCAGCACCGTGTCACATAAGAGACCGGCGGTGACCCAGGGTGTCCATTATCAATTTATCATGTTGTCTACCAAGGTTCCCACTGAGAATCATACTGAAACATACTGGGCAAAAGGTTCTACCCTCACCTCGCCCCACCAACCCCTCTCAAAATGAAGACTAGTGCTCACAAACTGTAAAGGTTATAGCATGTTCTTGGTTGACCCAGAAGAAAGTTTCATCATGCATGGAAAACAAAGAACAGCTTGATAAAAACTAACATACGGATCAACTATGTGCTTTTTCAAGAAATGACTACAACATTTTTTATTCTGTTTATTCTTCCAAGATCTGCAGTCAAGTCTTTTCCAAGCGCTTCAACCATTGGGGGATTGGATGATTGACCAAATGTATCTGGGCTAAGAAAAAACCAGGCCTCAAATTTCAAGGAGTGATGCTAACCTTTGGAGTTCCGAATTAGTGTGACCAGGAGTTTTCTGGAGCTCTTGATGTATAGTTTGAATTTTTTGCACAAGAATGTCGATCACTTCTGGTAGATGGGTGCCCAACCCAAGCGAGTTGATGTTCAGGTTCAGGTCGTTTGACATTGGTATGTTCGCCAGCATAACGGACTTTCCACGTGCGTCCGGGACTTCTGAAGATGTGCCAATTTGAAAGATCGAGAATCGTTCCCTTTGCCATATGTCCGCCAAAAAGTTTTTTTGAATGACTGCCCATCCGTGTGTTTTGAACGCGTCTGACTTCCGATCAGGCAGTTGTAGCAGCTTCCTAGCAAGTTTGAGATACGTTAAGCGAAGTGACTCGGAATACAGCATGACGACTTTCTCTAAAGCTTCGATTTTTGGAAACTCGGCCATTTGTCGGATTTGAGCCATGTAATGTTGGGATAAGCTCGATGGTTCAACGTGATGTTGGACGATGAAACGTAGCATATCGTTCAAAGTCTTTGCTCTTACTAGCAGATTCGCTTGCATGTCGATTGAGGTTAAGGGCTGAGTAGATTGTGGGAAGATCCCATGGATCACCTTCTTCAAAAACTCTTGGTAGAGCATCTGAATCGTGTGTTCATCCAAATCGCGGAACGCTCCAGGGGCAGTGAGAATGCGGAATTCTTTTCCCAAATTCGAGATGTCAGGCAAGGAAGCAAATGTTGCAATTTGGCAGTCCAAATATAAGCGTTCTATGTTGCGCCAACTTGCTGGATCCAAGTCTGATGGAACGTGTCAACAAGCAACAAGTCAGTTCTCATCCGGTGGATATATTCAACAGAAACTGTGTGACCATTTATTGTCTGTCTAGAAAATCAAAATGGACGACTTGGGATTTGACTAACATTCCAAGAGTCCATGTATCAGACGAATGGAAGGGCTTTCTTCCATGCTAGACTTCAAGTCGAATATGAAGTACGTGTCTGGAATGTGGCGAGTAGGAGGGTGTCGGCCAATGAGCCAAATTGAATATCCAGCGGCCTCCATTTTGGTTGTTCAGAATCTCGCGGGTAACTCGTCGCCAATTAGCCCCTCTTTATCCAAACCTGCAAGCAGTTCGACGAAAAGGTCGTTCATGAGGTAGATCAAGGAGAGGGCTTTAACATTGACTTTGTTGGATGCGAATGCTTCCTTGTCCTGCAAAAAGCTGGACGATTTTTCAAATCCATGCAAGATGTCTAATACTAAGAGCGCGTTATTTTCTTGAAGAGATTTTTCTCCAGAACCTAGACTGATCACCCGGTTCAGCCGGCTAGGAGGCTTGGGATGGAAAATCGCGCTGAGAGCTTTAGAGATTTGAGTTTGAATTTTTTTTAGCTTTTTGTCGTATTTTGGTTTAAGCCCAACATTGGAGTCGAAAGCGATCAAAAGCTGATAACTGGCCGATTGCAATCGTTGTTCCAGTTCACGTCGGACACCTAATTTTACACAAGTTCAATGTCAGCTTGGAAGCGCGTCATTATCAAGCAACCCAAAATGTGTTTTAATGAACAAGACTTACTATCAAGTTCACGAGGCGAATAATCTGGCAAAGAAAGAATTTCAGTCGTTTTAATATTCTTGCACTTGGAAAGTTTACACATCAGACTCGTGCTCACTTTTTACTGTTTCAATCCTTTCGACTCTGCTCTGTTGAAGGAATACTAATTTGAGGCGAATATAACGGGTCATGGTTTGGATGTGCTGGATCCAAGGCTACAAGAGAACAAAGCAGAACACTTACGCGGATCTATTTTCAGATAAGTCAGAATCGAGATCTCAATAACTTTGCAAGATCAATAATGAAGATTGGGAAATAGGTTTGTCTCACTTTTCCAGTAGTTCAGAAGTTGTTCTCCGTTCTCAATGGGTGTGGGCCGATTGATGAACAGCAATTCATTGGTGATTTCTGTTGATAGAATGCATTCATTTTTAATCTTGGAAGATGAGGTTCACGCGCAAATTACTGAGGTCTTACGCTGCTTGGGAGTGAGGTTCCTTGACGTAGGTCTTGCTTGAGGATCCCTCGCATTTAGTAAGTTGGCGGTTTCTATGTGGGGAGAGGTTTTCATCTTTAGAAACTTTTGCATAGCATGTTAACATCAGTCTGTCACGTACCACTTCGTGCTCGCTGGTATACGATAAACTCGTCCTCCGGGAGAGTAGACAAACCGTCTGCTGGAAAGCAGATAATCTTTAAAGCCAAACCCAAGAAGCATAGTGATAAAAGCGAGAAACGTGTTGATAGAGTCGTCCAGCGGATGGCAATGCTCATGGCGAACTCAGACGGGGAGGTCACTTTGGGTCCAGCTGTCTTGGGCCAAGTGTCCCACATGGAATCTGGCAAGGCATATTTATGTTGGCATCAAAGAGCTTAGTGTGCCAGGAGTAGGAAGACGAGCTCCTACTTGTTTCGGTGGGAAGAGGCCAGTTTGCTTCACGTTTATCCTCCGAGCTACTGAGCAACCCAAGATACATAGCAGAATGAACGAGAAGATTTTTATCCTTTGTGTAGATGAACTGCGCCTGAAGTAAATATCCATGCTGGGACCCAGCTAGACCCAAGGCGCAGCATATCGGTATGTATGTGTGAATGGTGCACAGAATTGTCAGCTCATGCATCCCAAGTGGAAACCAAGCCCTCTTCATTCGGAGGGGGGAGGCCGTCCCGAGGGGCCTGCGGGACGGCGTCCCCCCTCCGAATGAAGAGGGACTTAGTTAAGTTACATACAGAACCTGGTGCTTATCGGTTACAAGAAGAAGAAAAAATTCGCTGAAACAAATGTGACAGTATGGACAACGCTTGGGCTGATGAGGGAACCACCTGAGAACCGGGACCGCGCATGTCCGTCATATGTACCAACTGTGATCAAAGCAAGTGGACTATGGCATTTTGTGATCGTACGAGCGAGAAGCAACAATGATTGGGATGTAGCTCTGTGGAGAAAGAGGACGAGATGTCAACAGAAAAATGTATAAGACGAAGTAACTACAAAGAACTGAAGAGTCTGATGGCAGTCACAAATGTGGCACAGATCATTAACGGAATCCTATTGATTGAGTACTGGTGAAAACCGGAAACATGAGTAGATAATAACAGTAGATACAAAGAACTGAAGAGTCTAATGCGTCACAAATGTGGCACAGATCATAAACGGAATCCTATTGATTGAGTACTGATGAAAACCGGAAAGATGAGGAAATAATAACAAACTGTGAAGCTCCTCATGAAGGATCATCAATCAGAAATAATTTTGAGGAGGAAGAAAGGATACACAAAAGCGGTTGTTGGACAATTTTATAGGGTTTGGGCTAGCCTCCAAGGGGACCATACTTGGCAGGACGTCCGCCTTCGCCCAAGATTTGACGAGTCGGCGGGGCGTTTTCGCTAGATGATTATAAGGTCGATCGATCGATCATCAGTGTTGAATGGCCCATCAAAGGTAGAAGCGCGAGCGAATCAGTCAACAAAGAAGATCTCTATGTATGAGATTGTAAAAAGGGCGATGATGAAGGTGAGTCAGACAAATCGTAGGGCCCGGAAGAAAGACTGACGTTGTGTGAGGATCTTTTTCTGATGACGGCTCAGCGGGCGGGATCTCAGCGGCTTGACTAAACATGCCTACAGTGATCATACATAAAGTCACAGAGGAAAGACGGGAAAAGAAGAACGACTGTTTGTCAGTGGATGTCCCGCCGAATTAATCTGACGGAATCCCAGAAAGGGGGGGGGGGGGGAGGGGGACACGTTAAACTCGAGCAAGAAAGCGAGCAAGGAGAGTTCGGGGAGGAAGTACACGCAACTGATAAACAAACAAAAGAGGACGCAAAGGAACCGCATGGTGTCCAGGTTTAAAAGTGTGCGTGGCCGTTGGTTGAAGAGGGAGCCTTGTTGATAAGGAACCAAGCAAGGGAACGATGATTTGATTTGATTTGATTTGAATTTTTTGTCAAGAGTGAGTCGGGGATGGATTCAGTTGGCAAGCCACCAAGCCAAGGACTTGAATGATATTTGAAGAGGAACCCACGAGGAATTGGACCGATCGAGTGCTCAAGAAATCTGAGCCGGACTCTGGGACACATCGCTCGATTGGGGCTCCATTTAGATCAAGTATTTACGCGGTTTGAGTGAGTGCGTTATTAATGTGAAAGATGATCGGAGAGAAGTTCCTCAAGAGTACAACATTTTCGTTGAAGAATACATTGTTCTGTCTTGAGCCTGTTAGAGTAGTGCAGGAAGATCAGGGAAGATGCAAGATTACAACCATGTTTTAGACCATAACTATGTACATACAAGAGCTTAACCTAGTTTAGTGACAGTCTCAACCCTAACCTAGATAAGCTTGTACATAGTATATAGTCAGATCAGTCCCGGTTCCGGCCTCCTCTCTCTTTCCTCACCGAGATTGGAGACCGGAACTTGTGCGTGCCGATAGCTTACCGCGCCGGGACTGTGACGAACAGGTTAGTAGTTATCTCTTTTCATTTCATGCAATCTACTACCGAGATTGGAGACCGGAACTTGTGCGTGCCGATAGCTTACCGCGCCGGGACTGTGACGAACAGTGCCCATTTGCTTTGTGCATCTTACAGGTTAAAAGCCGGCTTTCGTGTGTCACGTAGCATTTCTCCGGGATCTCTATAAGGTCATCGATAGGATCATAGATGAGTAATTGGTTCGGATTAAACCAAGAAGAAAGAACTAGAAGAGAAGACGAAATAAACCATAGAACGAACACCATTCAAGGAAGATCAAGAAATATCGAAGACGATATCGATTCACACTCATCATCAAACTCCTTTTCATCAACTCCCTCATCACCTATCCTCAGCGAATCTAACCATAGGATGTCGCAAAATCAAAACCCCCCCCCACAAGACCAGGACATGTCTCCCGAGCAAGCTAAGCAACTCCTCCTCCTCATGCGCAACGAGGTCGCTACTTTGCGTACGACTGTCGAAACGCTTCAGAACAACCCTGCCCCCCCAACTGCTCAAGCTCCTCCCACTGCCCCATCGAACGACAATCAATCTCTCGGAAGCATACTACTCCGAAATTTTTGTCGATCTCCTTTATCCGCCCATAAGGAAATTAACCCTCGGAAGCCCATCCTGGACTACGACGGGGTCAACTTTCAAGTCTGGCACGATGCCCTCGACCGCACCCTGATGCATTTTTTTATGAAAGACAAGTCTTTCATTGAGACTGCTGATAACTTCAACAACCTGTCATCGACGGAAAACTCTTCGATCGCTAGCATCATACGCAATACGATCGAAGACCAGCTTGTTGGGATCGTCGAGAGCTCAAAACTCAAGGCCCCTCTCGAGTTGTACAATCTCCTCAAAACCAATTGTAGCAAGTCGGATCGTCGCCACAAGATCGAACTCGTGGACAAACTCATGGCCCTTGCCTCTGACCAGAACCCCTCGGACAGCTTTACTCTCTCAAAGTGGGCGACCATAATGGCCGAGCTCGATCAACTCAAGATCGGCTGGGCTGAGGTCAGTGGCCTGTTACTCCAAACATCCTTCAAACCTCCCCTTGGGGTCGACTCGAAGACTTTCGAATTCTCTGTCGATCAACAGCTCGACGTGAAAGATCAGCCGTCGTTCGCGGACGTTTCATCTGTCATCCAGTCGGCGACTGGTAAACTTAAGTCGAAGAACCCTAGCAACGGCCCGGCACCGATGGACCTAGATCGGATTCAAGCCTTGCAATCGGGAGCCAAGTACTACCAAGCACCCCAGCGTAGAAATCAAAACTCCAGCCACCCTCCAACAGACAAGCAACCACCTCGACTGTCTGTTGACAAGGCCACCCACTACAAAGGAAAGGGTCAGACTGAAGCCTTGCTGAACCGATACGGACATGCGTGTGTGTACTGTGATAAAGAGGGTCACTGGTACTCTGATTGTTCCGCCTTCTGGAGAGACGTAGCGATGAAGAAGATCGCCTCACCGCCGGACAATCATACCTCTGAGGAGTCCAAATACAGACCACCGCGCCGTCCAGACGGAGACCGCCTCCGACAAGTAAACATCCCGAATGTCTCGGAGGGTTGCCTGCTTGACTCTGGTGCATCTGCCCACGTAAGCGGTAATTCTCCCCTATTCAAGGTTGATCAAAAACTAACCCAACCTCGTACATTCTACCTGGCTGTTTCCGACTGTAATGTCACTGTGACGGACATCGGTAGTGTGACGATCCCGACACCGAAGGGTCCTCTGGTCATCAATGAAGTTTACCACTGCCCGGGTGTCGACGGCATCATTCTCTCAACCGGTCGCTTACTCTCAGAAGGTTGGAAACTTATCTATGAAGGAACAAAGGCCACTCTCGTTGATCCTTGTTGTAATAGCTATGATACAGTATTCCACAATTTCTGCTGGTCATTAAAAACTTCCCCCCCCTTGCAATGCAACAAGATCACCCACGTCCCATCTTTTGACCCATATGTCTGGCACGTGAGACTAGGCCATGTTTCTGACGATGTTGTGAAGACTTTCCTCCGGACCAACTATCCTGAGAAGAAGATCAACTGGAAGCGATTCTTCTGTGAGCAATGCGCTAAATCTAAGAGCATCGATAAGAAGACTCTAGGGATGGAAACCCTCATCCCTCGAGATAATCCGCTGGACTTTTGCGTCTCGGATGTTATTGGACCACTCAACCTAGACATCAACGGTTGCAGATTTCTAGTGACGATGCGCGACCATGCCAGTACATATACATTCTGTGCTCCCATGGCTAGCCGCAGTGAAGTCCCCGCCAAAATCCTCAAATGGATCCGACATCTCAAGACAGTCCTGGGGAAAGTGCCATCCTACCTCCGATGTGACAATGCTCTAGAATACACCAAGAGTCTTGCGCCCCAGCTCCAGGAATTGGGAACAACACTTGCGCCGGTGACGCCTTACTCGCCAGAACAGAATGGAGAAGCTGAACGTGTGAACCGCACCCTGGGTGATATGGCGAGGACTATGCTCCACTCCAGCGAACTACCTAGTTACTGGTGGTCCTATGCCTACTCAACCGCTTCGCACTTGCACAACCGCATTCCAAACTCCAGGACAGGTGATAAGTCCCCCCTCGAACTACTTTTTAAGGTCAAACCAAAACCGGAGACTTTATTCCCATTTGGTGCAAAAGGTATCCTCCACGTCCCAAAAGAACGTCGAACAAAACTTGAGGAGCGTGGACAGGAGGGCAAGCTACTTGGCTATCCAGAAGCTGGTGCTGGCTGGATGTTCTGGGTCCCGAACGAACGTCGCATGCTACACTCGGCCTCTGTGACGTTTCCCGACTTCCAACAGCTACCAGTCAAGCCGATTGAGACGACAGTCAGCAGTGACCTAGTTCCAAAGCCTAAAGCGGACAAGGTGGATGTGGACTTTGTGCTGAAGCAAATAGTTCTTCGACTCGGAGAGGAACGTACGAAAGAAATAGCTGATGAAGAATCAAGACAACTTTCGCTCCTCCCCGTGGCAGAAGAACACAACCTTCCGAAGAACATCAAGCAGGCACTTTCCGGCCCCGATTCCGACCTCTGGAGAGCTGCGGCAGAATACGAGATGTTGAAATTTGGACAACTGGAAGTATGGGTACCCGTTGTGGCGCCAAAGGGCTGCAAGGCACTTGGAGCTCGTTGGGTTTTTTCCATTAAAAGGAACCCGGACGGGACTGTCGACAAGTACCGAGCACGCTATGTTGCAAAAGGTTTCAATCAGCAGATGGGTCTCGACTACAATGAAACTTATGCGCCAACGGCCTCGCTCAACATCCTCCGCTTCCTTATCTCACTCAGCATCACTCACAACTTCCCGACGGCAACTTTTGACGTCAGCTCGGCATATTTGTATAGTCCAATTGAAGAGACGGTTTATATTCAACCCCCTGTCGAAATTAACCCGTCCCTGAAGGGAAAAGTAATGCTGCTGAAGAAAGCGCTTTACGGAACAAAGCAAGCTGCCCGATGCTGGTGGAAATTTTTCCAGCAAACAGTCCACTCCCTGGGTTTCGAAGCTAGCGAGATTGAACCGTCACTGTACCTCTTCCAACGGGATGGTCAATTTATCATAATCTGGCTCCACGTTGATGACGGTTTTGCCTTGGCTTCGGACAATTCTCTCCTTCAAGATTTACGCAAGGGAATGGAAAGCAAGCTCGAGATAAAATGGTCTGATGAAGTCCGGCGACTGGTTGGTATAGATTTTGTATGGGATGGTTCTCACCTACGTCTCCACCAATCAGTAATGGCAAAGCAAATCGTATCATCATACAAACGATTGGTCTATTCCCACCACTGCCCGCTCCCAGAAACTGAACTTGAGATATATGCGGGAGACCCAATTGATCAAACTGAGTACCGCTCAGTCATTGGATCCCTCATGTATCTTGCCTGTGGTACTCGTCCAGACCTTGCATACGCCGTGAACATGCTGGCAAGATTCTGTGCGGCACCTTCGGCGACTCATTGGACGGCACTCGACTGGCTAATTGGCTACCTTGGAAGGACGACGGAGAAAGGCTTGGACTATCGGGGAGGAGGTGGCGGTTTGGATTTGTGGACTGATGCGAATTGGGGAGGGGAGCATGAAAGGTTGACGACTGGGTATTTGTTGACACACGACGGAAACAGCATCGCGTGGGGGTCAAAAAGGCAAACAGTGGTGGCGATGTCAACTTGCGCGGCAGAATATCTGGCACTCTCAGAAGGAGCTCAACAATTGTCCCATCTTATCAACATTTTTGAAGAATTATCAATCGATCCCGACTTGAAGATTCACTGTGACAACCAGGCAGCGGTACTCATTGCAACCGACAATACATCAAAGAAGAAGACAAGGTATCTTAGGCGTGCTTTTTATTTTGTTAATGATCTAATTAGAGAGCATGATATCAAAGTCAACTGGACATCAACACACAACCAATTGGCGGATGTATTGACTAAACGGCTTGGACCAACCAAAATGTTGACAGCGGTGAAGCAGCTAGGAGTAGGCGGGTAATTGTTGTAATCTTGAGGGGGGGTGTTAGAGTAGTGCAGGAAGATCAGGGAAGATGCAAGATTACAACCATGTTTTAGACCATAACTATGTACATACAAGAGCTTAACCTAGTTTAGTGACAGTCTCAACCCTAACCTAGATAAGCTTGTACATAGTATATAGTCAGATCAGTCCCGGTTCCGGCCTCCTCTCTCTTTCCTCACCGAGATTGGAGACCGGAACTTGTGCGTGCCGATAGCTTACCGCGCCGGGACTGTGACGAACAGTGCCCATTTGCTTTGTGCATCTTACAGAGCCCATGATCGAATGTTCCGCCAAAAGAAGACAAGACTCAAAAGATGAGTCGGTACAAATGTAGACCCAGAGCAATCGCCTCGCAAACAAGACGCAGCCAGCGGCCCATTCGTAGCCCAATAAGTCTTAACCATATATTTTCAAGTCCCGAAGGCGGAGGCTGGAAAAGCTCAAGTTCAAGCGCAACCTAGTAGAGATCGGAGCACTGGACATGATCGGCAGCCTATCTGATCAATAACTTATTCCGAGCTGCTTTAGCACGGGTAAAATAAGGATGTGTCCCAGAGTCCATGTCGACCTTTGCGCCCCTGGGGGCGAAAGGAATGGACAAAGGAAAACCCCACATTTGAACATTTTGGTTCTTCTAACATATGAAAATATTATGAATATCGGGTTTGCTTTGCTTTTAAAAAAAAAGAGGGGAGGAAAGTAGGAAGGGAGGGAGAGACGATCATTGAAGTCGTTCTAATAAACCAGAACCACAAGCCTCAACATCCGCGACTTCTTTAGGGGTATTACAACTCAAGATCACTTGATCGTTTTCGCGAACATGCACCATATCTTCCACTCGGATTCTTTTTTTATTCAATCAAAAAAGCAATCACCCGGGACCAGTAAGGATTTTTGTTAGAATGTTGTAGGTATGCAAAATTGTTCGTCGAAGGAAGAGAACGGGGAGAAAAAAAAAAGACTAACCCGATTCCGCGGAAATGTTTGGGGTATTTGTCTTCGTCAGGCACGTAAACACCGGGCTCGATAGTGATGACCGAGCCTGCTTTAAGTCTATAGACGGGCGATTGGATAAAGGGAATCAGTGAATGAAATATGTTGAAAAGTCTGGAGAGACAAGTTAGAGGAGGAGGGTGATGAATGGATGAGCGCGCACCGGTGGGAACGGTTCCAGGATGGCGTGTCATGTAAATCCGTGCCCACAGGATGGCCTATGTAATGGGGATACAATCTATTCAAAGCGTCTGGATGATCCAGGTTGAAGCCCAACCTGACGAGGCCATCTTTCAAGAGCTGGCAGCTAGCACGATGGAGACTACTGAGAGAATGGCCAGAGCTCTGACGACATTGGGTGAGCAGTTCCTTCTCAACGTTCTTCACCACCTCGTACAAGTCCCTTTGAGCCGAGCTGAATCTGCCCTGATTGCCGATGGGGAAGGTGCGAGTGATGTCGGCGACGTAGCCGGCATATTCGAATCCGGCATCCAGCAAGACGAGCTGGTTGCCCGGCCTGAGAGCCCGGTCGTTGAACGTATAATGGATCGTGAGGGCCGCCGGCCCGGCTGCACAGACGGGCACATATCCCATTCGACCCCCCACCCCGGGCGAGTGTCGCTGGCATCCTCCTTCGAAGGCCTGCACCAGTTCGTGCTCACTTCTTGAGGCTTCTGCAGGACGACAGTCTGCCGCCAAACGCATGGCCGCCTTGAATCCATGTGCGCTGATATCTGCGGCGATCCTAAGAAGCTTCAATTCGGCCTCAGATTTGATCATCTTGATCGGGTCTAATTTGGCTTGTAAGGACCGGATCGGCCGGTACTTTGAATGATCCGTCTGGCCACGAGTAGTTGAGCGACTGCTCGCAAGGACAGCTAGACAGCTATCCAGATCAGACCTCGAGGATGATGGAAAGCTGCCGGTTGGCGAGCTCAGAAAATCGGCCAAATTGCCGCTCTGGGCGTTGTTCTTGGAAAAGAAGTCGATCAGAGGTACTGTCGATCTCCATGGGGGTAAATTTGGGAACTCGATATCCGAGGGTAAGTCTAGATAGACGGGTGATCTGGTTGACTTGGTCAGCACGGGTTTTAGTCTGCTTGCGAGATCGGAAATGTCGTAGGTCTGAGATAAGACGATCCGATCATAGAGGAAATAAATCAATACCAGAGCCTGGCTGGTGTGCAATCTTAGATTGGGAAGACATACGGCGTCAGCCCCGAACCATTCAGTGACTCCATCGATCCCAGACCTAGCACCCTCCCACATCTCTTGGAAGGGGTCTTTGGGCCTCACAAACATCGTCATCGTATAGCCTTTGGTGCTATTGTCCTTTTCTAGGCCAAAACAAAACGGATCAAACTCCTGCCCGGGAAGGGTTTAAAATCAAAAGTTTGGTTAAACAACTGACCTAGAAGAAGACATGCATCCGGCTCTTGGAAACCTGTCAGATACCAAAAATCACTCGATTGTCGAAATGGATAACTGTTTTCCTCATCCATAGCAGCGTCAACGGAGAGGAAGGGGGGTTTAAACATCAGGCTCCTATGAAAATCAACAAGCTGAAAAAAAAATGCTTTGGTGACTTACAAGACATGATGGGCCATCCATTTAGTTCTTGCGCCGGCGATAATGACCGAAGACCCATCAGGCAAGAGATCCATCAACTTAGCGCGCCGCTGAGCATATTCCTCGCGAGGTATGCCGATAGTCAGCTCATGAGGAGCCAGCAAGTGCGGGTGAGTGATCGGCAAGGGCTGTCCAAAGAACTGGTGGTCATATGACGATGTCGGCTGTTGGTGAGAGTACTTCCGGGAAAAGTCTACACGATGCTTAATAACGGGAGCCAGTTAAAGAGAGCCCTGGTTGGATTAGGATTGCGGAAGGAGCGATATGTATCAGACGAAAGAGATTGACCAGATGAACCGATTCTTCCAGAGGAGCTTGATAGTCGTCGTACCCGTAGCATCCATCCGATTCTTCCTTCGTCGAGCCCGCCGAGTCTTCGGTTCATGATCCTTGTTCCTATCTTCCCCTTCATTTTCCTGATCTCCAAGGGTGTCGTGATGGCTGTTGTTGTCCTTCTTCTTGACTCTGCGACTGTCAAACTTTAAAAATCCTTGATCGAGAAAGAGGCGTTGCTCCGGCCCGGACACAGGTCCCCCGGATCGATGGGCATCCGATATCCGCGGCCTGGAGCTGACTACATACTTGGCTCGCATTACTCCCAGCCGATTCCCACTTGACCACTTCTTCAATCGTCGCTCCACCACCATGTCACTCAGCAACAACGAGGTCAGTCCATGTTTTCAGTCATCGTATCAACAGCTTCTGACGGCTCCTCTCTCTCTCGAACACTCTAGTTCCTCGCCAAGCTCACTGAGCTCTTTACTCCTGATCCTCAACGCCCGCGCACGTGTTTTCTAACACAAAAGAGATGTAAGTTAAGCATCCAACTTCTCCTGTACGATCCATTCACTTAACTTATTTGAATCTTTGATCGTACAAGTTGCATATCAGGCTGATGGCGACGCGATCATGGAAACCCCCGGAAAGGAACCGACGTTCAAGTGTCTATTCCGCGCCACTGATGGACATGCAATCAAGTTCTCAACCTTGGTATGTCAACACCTCTTTGTGAAGATCAAGAGTAAAAAAAAAAAGGATTGATGAGGTGTATAAGTTTGTAGGTTGAACCCGACCAAACCCTAGTCTTTCACAAAGCGTATTCGAACGTCATGAGGACACGAATGATAGCCAAACTGAAGCCCAAGAAGAAGAAAGCAGGCAAACCAGCGGCTGTGAGTGCGGTCAGGCTGCCGAAGATCGTGGGCCCTAAGCGTGGCCCGGGCGTGGAACGCAGACGGAGATTGGTTGCACAGCGTTCGAAAATACTGATGAAGATCAGGCGTCGGAAGTTGTTGAAAGTTGCGGCTACTACCACCACTACTTGAGCATCTTCAAACCAATACACACACATAGTGTCCACTTCATAATAAAAAAAGTGTTGATTGTACTACCAAGTTTTTTTTCTTAATCTTCTTTCTAGCATGTTTAGCTCCCGGTTCATCTACCTACCTGAGCGACCAATCCACACCCCGACAGTCATGCTCTCTCGAATTTATCGTATCATAACTTACCAAAAAAAGAAAATCTTGATTTGCCCGTATATGGTGACATACACAGGATCTCAATTATCAGAATGTCTATTTGTGACCCTTCTTGGACAACAATCCGTGGAACCAACAAAGAAACGGCGCGGAATTTCTGGAGTTGGGCCATCATTGATTGTCCTTACATCTACAGCCAAATTATCAGCGCTTCATGCAATCAACCACTCCCAAGAAGAGTCGACCAAAAGAGGGATCCGGCAGTACATAGTGTTGCACCGAACAGTGTTCTCAATAACCTTCCAGAAGATGAAAAGAAAACGGCTAAAACTCGATTTCAGCTGTTCCAACGAGCACATGAATTGTGCAAGTGTTTGAGCTTGAGAAATCAAGATCTGGAAGTCCGCCGTAGCCAGCACGATCAAGTTTCTCAAGCTGGTGGTGAGATGGACAGAAACGGCTCTGGACCCCTCATGGGAGTATGTAGCTGGCTTGGTGCTGATGAGGGTGACACTATGTATCCTGCATGTCTTTGATCTCAATCTTCCACGTCCTCGCCAGCCTAGATGTGAGAAACTGGTGGATGGTCACCTCTATCTGCTAGCTTCATGAGCTCCGCAATCAAGCCATGTGTCTCCTCAAAAGTGACAGGCCCTTCAACAGACATTCCCTACTTTTGGCTGGTCACATCGTACCAGCTCATTCATCACTGAATATCCTTGTTGCTTATATCATCCAGCCAAGAGTAAATTCTGGACTGGACCAATATTGGCGGTGATCATGGACTTGCACGTTTCTGTAATAATCGGATCAAGGTCGATAGATCTTGGATCCAATTATTAGGATTTGCATATAACAATACATATATTACATTTTGGGCGGCCAAACGGAGCCTCAAGAAACCAATCCGAGGACGAGAGACCATTCCTCCCTAGGGTAAGGATCACATGAGCAGAGAAATATAGATACATATAGATATATTTAGACATAGATATAGCAGGTGATAGATATTGTACCAAGGGTTCTCCTTTTCTGGGTTGAGAGGACAAAAAAAAACTAAATACAGTTGTTCAATGCGAAGAGGTTTTAATGAACCAATTGGAAAGAGCATCTAGGAATGAAGTGAAGAAAAAGAAGAAGAGAATTGTAAGAGGTGTGGAGGACGAGTGCTCGAGTGATGATTTGTGGATGATGATAGAGTTGGCCTCGAAGTTCGTAGGAAGAGGCACCGGATTTCTGCCTACGGGTGGGTATAAGCCAGTTTAGTTGAAGCGCTTTAGAAAAGGGAAGAAGGGACGGGATATTGGAAGGGAGGAAGGTCCAAGAGGACGGCATGGGACTGGTCATGGGATCCAGAGGGTTGGGAGAGCCCGCCGAGATCAGCGAGGCTCAAGAGGGTGTCGAGGTGGGCGACGCAGGCGTAGTTTTGGAGCTGCAGGAATTCCTCCTCCGAGGCTTGATACTGAGCAAGGGGTTCAAGAAAGCCTTGTTCGTAGGGCTGCGGTTGGCCATGCTGAGCCAGGAACTCCCTGATCTGGGAGTCCGAGAAGTTTGCAGGCTCGGCGGTGACGGCAGCCGACAGCGAATGGCGGAAGCCTAGGTTTTCGTATGCGTTGAACGAGCTGGTGCTTGCGGCTGGGTATTGCAGCTCGCGACACGGCAATGAGCTGATCCGTAATGGGCCACCGCCGCCAAACACGCCGGCGAGTCCATCGGACCCAGAAAAGGAGCTTGGATTGAACACCTCGGGCGCTGGCTCAGCCGCAGCAAAGAGCCCAGAAATCAGATCGGAACCGGAGAACGGGGTTGCGCTCAAGAGTTCTGGGCTCGGATCGGGCCCGCCATAGACGCCTGATGAGAGCGCATCAGAGCCAGACAAGGAGCTTGTCCTGAGCACTTCTGAACATCGCTCCGCCCCTCCAAACATCCCAGAGAGAGCCTCAGAGCCGGAGAAATCCTCGGATGGGATCGAGTATGGCTCGCTTTCCCTGCGCGTATCATGGACGAAAGAGAAGATTTCAGACCAGTCCCCGGGCGGATTGTTGGAGTAGGTGTTGGGTTGATTGGAGGATGAGGAGCTTCCTGAAGAAGTGGAGGGCGGCACACTCGAGTTGAAGAGGTCTGGAGCGAGAGAGTCGGCCGGTTGAGGATACTGTTCCATGAACTGGAATTGGTTGAACAAGGGCATGTTGACGTTATAAGGGCCTTCCTCGGCGATCGAGTCTGAGCGTTGATGGCGCTCGGAGGGGAACTTGAACTCGTTATTCCAGCTGGTCGGATACAACGAGTACGAGGCTTGGTCGGAAGACTGAGGACGTGGGTAAGGGTTGTGGCGAGGGACGGAGAAGGATCTTTCGCGATGGACTGCCCCCGGGACAGCCGGCTGGACTTGTGGCCCATTCCATTCCCTCGACTGTTCTCGAGGCAGGCTGTGGACTCGGACTCGGTTCATCGGCGTCGGCGAGGGCTTCATCTCCGTCGGGAAGGGCACTTCAAGCTCTTGGTAAACAACCGCCCGCGAGCGGGTGTGCAGTTCGTGATGCGCAACCGTATGGGTGACTTCGTGCTTCCGTAAATCGTATGAACGCTTGAAGGTCTTTTCGCAGATCTGCAATCCACAAAGGCCAATGAGAAAAACTTTCAACATTCTGCTGGTGAGGTACATATTTACACCTAAAAGAATCGCTTCTTACCCCGCACACATTGGTTTGCAATGGACAATGGACTGATAGGAAGACAGCAAAAAAAGTCAATTCTTGTTCTGCGGAGGTTTCAATGCTTCAACAATTTGAACGAGAAAATTCTTACCCATCATGTGAGAAGTCATATCTAAAATCAAAGAAGCGTTCCTCAAATCAGTTTCCAATTTTGGCTTAGATAAGAGAAGGGTGGTTGACTCACGATCTCGTTTGGCGGCTTTGTGGTCGCAACCCTGTAAAGGACAAGCACATTCAGCACGAGCTGTTTAGAAAGAAGGGGGAACGGGTTGACTGACCTCCCAGGAGCAGTTTAAGCTTAGGTTTCCATTGCGCTTGCGGCCGACGTGAGAGTCGCAAAGATGGTTGAACAATTCCTGAGTCAAGGATGCAGATCAGCAACCTAGAAACGAGACTTGATGAGACCAAAGAAGAAGAAAAAAATTACCTCGGCGGAAGCGAATTTCTTGAGGCAATCAGGCTTGCTCCATTTGCAAGATAGATTCATGTTTTGGTCGGCCGGAGTGGGTTGGAATGAGAACATTGATAATGGCAGTATATGTGGTATTAGATCTCAAAAGTTTTGATCTATGAAAGTGATCAAAAAAAAAAGTGGGTAGTTTTGGAATGTGGGTGTAAGTGAGTAGATGTATGTGAAAGCTATAAATAAAGGGTGCGAGAGAGATCAATCGTCTGGTGGAACTGCCCTGCAGTCTGCTTGGAAGAGTTTTGTCAAGTTACAAACTTGAGTGTGTGTGTGTGTGTTTTCCAGAAGCGAAGAAAAAAGGAGAAGAAGAAGAAGGAGATAAGGAATCCGTGGCTCAAGCCCAAGAGAATCGAGAAATCTTTATATGTTTATGAAGGGGTTAATGGGAGTCACGAGCAGCATCTCGTGCAAGTTCTAAAGCGAATCGGACGATACGACTTGAAAGGTCTGACGACGAGTTGTTTGATTCCAGTTGGCTTGACTGATTGGCCTGGCGTTTGGAGTCGATTGGTTTGTGGGGTGTCTTGTCTCCACACCGACTTGTAGAATCCGAGTTGCTTATGATTGACAACTGGAGCAAGAGTGACAAAAGTTGTCCGACCCAGTTAGAATCCAAGTCAAGGAAAAAAAAGAAACAGAGGTTATTGAGCTAGTTCTTCTTGCCGAGAGGGTTACGGTTTGACGGAAACACGACCTACGGTCTGTAGCATCCTATATAGTGACAGTCGAGGATTAAGAGAGGAATGTGATCTTAAGTGGGGAACAGCTAAGCATCAAAACCGCGAGACCATAGAAAGCGGAAATCGGAGGGTGTCTTGATGATAACCCGAACAATCCAGTTGGCGTACCCAGTGGATTGAATCGGGTCACCGAGACGGCCCAGTCCCTGAGGAGATGGAGAGTGAGCTGTGATGAGCTATGAGGCCTTGAGTGCCTCGAGCGCCACCCTCTTGTGGGTCCAGGTCGCCAGGGTCCGGCTACATCGCAGTACATGCAGTGATGCCTTAATCAGAGGGACATTCTTGTAGAGGAGAGAGCTTTTGGCGAGCGACACTTCGGCGGCCGTGGTCATCTCCCTGCGACTCACCGCGCCGGATGAACGGCCAACAAGTTCCTAGAACGACACCCGGACGGGGACGGCCCTGATGTTAGTAGATCATGAGACCCAATTTGTAATGTAGAGTGTAGGAGTGCTATTTTTTGTTAGTCACTGACCGTGTGGCACGGTCGGCAAGAATGCAATGCGTTGGTTGTCTCTATAAAGGAAGTCTTGTGATGGGTTTGATTTTCTGAACAACTGATATGTAAGCTGATGGTTTCCTCATTTTAATTACTTGTGTCTTCTCGCCGAACGAACACCAAGTTGGAACTCCTAAGGTAGTAAACCTCTCTTGATCTTGGATCTGACCGACAAGCGTTTCCTGGAGGGACGCGACAGGCGCTCAAGAAGCCATGTTGAAATATGTAGCACGGGATTCTCGAATGAAAATGTAGCCATATATGGTTTTGAAGGGTGGAATCCATGTTGATGATCAGATGTCGAGGTGAATTTTTTGAAGAATCTATGTATATCACTGGGTATTAGGTAACACGATCAGAAGACGATAGGAACTGATCATCAGATGCAACGAAATGAAGTTTGTATAATTTGGAGGTGAGGCTACATAAAGCGGCCGGAGCTGGTCCGGAACCGGGTGGTTATATCAAGGCCCGGCCGGGTGAGTTACACAGGTCTGGTAGAGCAGACGGCCGCCATCCTCCACTCGGGAATCCGGGTCTTCTTCTTGTCGTTGTGAATTCTCTATAATTTAGGTCTAATACTTCTGCAATTGTCGAGAGCACATTTTGGAGTTATACATAACCGGAAAGATTTCATCTAGAGGATGATGAGGAAGGAGGTCTTTCTGAGCACATGAACTCGGCTGGGGAGCTCGGCCGGCGGAAGTAGGCAGTCTGTCAACGGTCCGATGAGATCACCATTGATGATAGATGGGATCGGTTTGGCCCCGGGGTACATGCAATAACCGTCGGAGTCGGACCTCGGTCGGCCGGAAGGCGGATGGTCCCTCCCCTCTTCCCAACATTGCGCCAAGGTTCACACCATCCATCCATCCGGCTCGCGTAGACAGCTGTTTGAACCGATGTCCCTCCCCCTCTCCAAGAAAAAAAAGAAGAAGAAGAAGAAGCTTCGGAAGGAGTTCCTTCTCTTCCATGTGTGATGTCTGAAAGACTTCGATCAAACCCACACCCTCACTGTAAGGTCGCTGCATGCACAGCAATATAAATCATGCACTCTCCTGCAAGAGGCTTGAGCTCTCTTCCCTCCTACTCCTCCTGACCCTATCCTGCTTGTCAACGAACACCAGCCTCGAAAACCTGCAGGACTCACTGCACTCTCAGTCTCAGTCCCCTCTGAAAACCGCCTACTGAACTATACCCTCTCTCCAAAGATAAATAAATACAAAAAAAGCACATCATCACTAATCAGGAGCAAGCAGATCCTAGCCCGACGACCGCCATGATCGCTGACCAAGCCAAGACCAAGAAACACTTCCCCTCCTTCTGGAACACCCTCAAACATCCCAAGCCCCACACTTCCGCCCTACCACTCCCCACCTCTTACGAATCACTAACCGACTCGCAGAGATCGGTCTATCAATTCCTGGTCGACTCTCTCAGCTCTCCCGACTTCGAATTACCAGTAACAACACCTCCAACGGGCTCAGGGGGGGCCCGTCTGCAGCCATTAATGGGCAATGAGCTTCCCAACCAAGGACACTCATCATCATCCAGACGGCTCACACAGTCTGAGAAATGCTTCTGCTCTAGAGAGGCCATCTTCAGGGTCTGCAGAGCCGTCAAATGGGACCCCCATAGGGCCCTCAAACGGCTCATCGACACTCTGGCTTGGAGGAGAGAATTCGAGGTCGAGCGGATCGATTATCGACTGCTTTCAGTCGAGGTTAGCTATCTCCTTTTTTTTGTCCCCCATTCGATCGGCTTATAAAGAACAGTGAACAAAAAATAATAATAATAAAGACACAGATCAAAAAAAAAAAAAAAGAAAGATCGGCATTGATGATATTGATTGATTTGAGACAGGCCGAGACCGGCAAACAGTTCACACTAGGATACGACAACCACCAACGCCCGGTCCTATACATGTTCCCATACCGACAGAACACGAAGCCGTCGCGGGACCAGATCCGGCTGTTGGTCTGGTATCTCGAGCGGACGATTGCGCTGATGCCTCCCGGGGTCGAGTCGTTGACGTTGGTGATCGACTTTGGCGGGCCGGATGCCGCCCGAATCAAGGGCCCCGGTAGTCAACGTTGGCTGGTTTTCTTTCTCTCTCTCTCTTTTCCTTTGTGAGACTGCTTGCTTATATTATCTTCGGGTATTTATTAGCTACCCCCATCTCTGTGGCCAAAGAAGTCCTCAAAATCCTCCAAACTTATTATTGTGAACGTGAGTTTGTATCTGTTGTCAAGAAAATCTTGCATTGTCTTGAGTATATCCTCAAAGAAACATTTTTTTTTGGGGGGGAAGGTTTGGCGCAGGCGATTTGCATCAATGTGCCTTGGATCTTCTGGGGCTTTCTGAAACTATTGACGCCGTTTATCGATCCGAAAACAGCAGAAAAAGTCTTGTGAGCAAAGTACTATGTTTTTTTCCATCCCTCACGTCTCCGATTTTTTCTTCTTTATGTGGTGGTTTCGATCTTCGACATCCTCATTTTTTTGCTCGCTTTCTTGAAAAAATAATTGACATGTGGTTTTTTTTTTGTAGATTTGATCCCGTGGTCTCGGAGCACGTGCCTTCTGAACAGCTCCTAAAAAAGGGTTTCAACGGGACGCTCGATTTCCAATACGTATGTCCTCATGATGGTTTCTTTTTTTTAGGACTCATTAAAACAGGATGTCTGATTTGTTAAATCCCCTCCCCTCCCAAAAAAAAATCGAATTATTGATCGGACAATAGGATCATGAGGTTTATTTCAAGTTATTTGCCGAGTTGACAGCCCATCGACAGGAGAAGATGTTGGCCAGATATGCACGATACGGGAACGGGAAGATCGGGATGAGTGAATATGTGCTACGGGGCGGCAATAGTCGGATGAACAAGAAGGAGGGGCGCCGGGAGCAGTCTGTTGGGACGTCGTCTAGTACGACTGCAATAAGCCGTCGATCTGCAACCTCCTCTCCCGCTGTTCTTAATTTCGGTACTCGGTCGGCTTCTCCGGTCGATGATCGAGCTCGCCAATTAGACGATTCAGATACTAGAGTCAGGCCAGAAAAGGAGCCGAAACTGAGTAACGTGGATCGTCATCGGCCACCTCCGATGGACTTATCAGATACTTCTACACATACTTCAAAAGGCTGGTGCGGCTCACCTAATCATTTGAAAAACGTCAAACTTGCACCGGCTGGCGAGAGAATCGCCTCCTCAAGACCTCTGTCTCCTCACTCCTTCTCCTCCTCCCCATCCCCCATTGATCAACATTCACGCCACTTGGATGCAATCAACGAAGATAAAAAGATGAGTTCAACCCAAAAGCCTTCGAAATGTGTGTTTTCGTTCCACTCCAAAAAAACGAGCAAGACTAATCGAGGAGTGACGACGGATCCGATTCCGAGGAGAACTCTCGCGCCATCCTACGAGACTGCTTCTTCCGCCGTCGTCTCCCGTTCCCTTGCCTCTGCTGCTGCTTCTTCTTCTTCGAACCCACAAGCACGCCCCTCTCTCTCCGCGGGAGCTCGGCCACTTTATCAACCTTTTTTGGATGGCGCCCGAATCGGCCGTCATGATCATGTTCCGCTGGGCTCTCTTCAAGCTGATAGTTTGGGCTCTAGTCGAAGGATTCGTAGGATTTGCTCCTAATACATCCCCGCTTCTCCTACCCCTTTTTTTGTCTGGCTTGCAATCGTACTTGCTGTGTCGCTCTATCCAGATCTCCTCAAA